CTGCGCCGAGCTTCCCCTGCCTCCGCCGCCTCTGCCTTCCCCATTAGCCTCTGCAGAGGAGTCCGGGGGTCCCCGCTGGCCTCCTGTTGTAAAGCAGTGCTCGGGTCCTCACGTCTTTGGGATGGAGGCCTGCTTTTTGTCCTTCTTTCTTCCCTAGCTAGCGTGGCCTTGCTGTGGGAATACCACTGGCCTGTACTTGAGGAAGGCAGTAAGGCTTCAGGAGGGGAGGAAGGAGCAAGGCCCCCTGAGACGTGTCAATTTGGCATTCACCTATAGAAGCATAGAATCATAGAATGGCCTAAGCTGGAAGGGACCTTAGAGATCATTTGATCCAGCCTCCCTGTCGCCAGGGACGCCACCTCTCGACTAGATCAGGCAACACATGGGGACCGAACGGGAATCGAACCAGCGACCTTGGCGTTAGGATAGCATTGCTTCAGTTATTTGTCCAGTGTGCAGGTGTTGATACAGTAGGCAGGTGCAGCCAGTTGCTTTTACAGAGTCTTGTGCCCTTTCTGTGCTCTGCAAGAAACCTGCAAGTGGCTTAAACTGTACCTGATAGGACTTAGGCAAGAACAGATCTAAATTTATGTATTTATTTGTTTACACTAGGCAGGAGCCTGATTTCTTTTATCACTGATGTAGTTGTTGATAGTGAGAAAGTGATACTGCATGCTTCAACTTTTGCACCTACTTGAAACAGTGCTGTGCATTTTTTTCATTGTTGAAGATTTCAAGCACAGCTGAAAAAAAATCACCTGGCTCAGGTTTTCAAGATTTATTTTTATCACTTTTTTAATGCTGTATTTAAGCAGAAGATTCCAGTTTCATTGGAGTTTTTTTTTTTATGGGGGTTTTTTGGATCCAGTCACATATTTGCACTATAAAAATCCTTTTTACATGCAGTTTTCCTACACATTAGTAGTTTGGCTGTTACAGTGTATAAAGCATGTTTCAATTTCTTGAACGCTTTTAATCCTGGAAAACTGTTTTAAACGGATTTGAGTGGAAGAGTACACAGCATCTGTTCAATAGTTCTCAAGTCATCTAGAGAATAATTTTCATAAAGCTAATTTATAATTTTGTCAATAATACGTCTGTTTATGTAAGGCATAATAGGGGTAAGGACTACTTCCTCTATCTCACTTCCACATCATTTTGTTATTGCCTGTTATTAGAAAAATCTTATTCATTTCAGTATCAGTGGTATGCCCATTTCCTGTTTCTTCACTTGCCTTCCTTTATATCACTCTAATCACAATTTTGATCACTGAAGAGATATTTCTTCTGTCTTTAAGCTGAAATTAAATAAGATATTTGTGGTTAGTAAATCTGTCAATATTGTTTGTTTGCTTCCGCTTTAACTCCATGTGAAAAGGTTTATAATTTTAGTTCGTTAACTAGGCCTGAAATTTGGAGGTCTGAGTGATGTGAAAACACAATGATGAAAGAGCTGTATGCTAGAAATGCCTGAATTTTTAATACATATTTTTGAGACACAGAAAGGAAATACAAATCTGTCTTTAATTAGGCATGGAATATGTGAAGTTTGTGGGGTTTGGTTTTTTTTAGAAATTTACTGGTGCTGTATACATCAGTGATGGTAGCTGTGCTAATATTACATTCAGTCTATGGCAAGTTTCATCCCAAGAAGTGCTTGCATCAATACTGTTTGAAAATGAAGGGATTCCTTTAGTAAAGATAATAGTTCATCCTAGCATGTATGTCTAGTTATTCATTTGAAGGTAATAGGGATACTGTGGCTACATTTGATCTTTTGTTTTCTGAACTCCTTTAAAGTTGCATTTAGATAGGGAAGAAGGTGATGTCTAAATTATGTACTGGTATAATAAGTCTTTTTGTTATGTGTGTTACATTATAATAACACAAAAAGTTGCTAAAACATTAGTGAGCTTTCTAGGTCATAATTTACCCTAGACCACGGTTAATCCAGCCTAACTCCACAATTCCACTCGCCTCCCTAGCCATTTAATTTCTGCCCTCTGTCTTGTGCTGACAGTATTGGCTATGCAGTAAGCCAAATCAGGGAAACTGATAGTATCTGGTTGGTACGACACTTAGACTAAATAATAATAATTAAAATATCAATCTCTTGAAGAATCATGGATATAATTTCTTGTTTTTCTTATGAATATCTTCTCAAGTAGAGCAGAACAGAGCATATTTAACCATCAATGTCAGAATGGTCTTATGCTAGATGGCTTACAGAAGAGAAATTAGACATAGTGGAGCAGCTCCAGCAGAGTGGGGAGTTGGACGAACAACATAAAGTGTGGTAGATGAAGAAGAGTCTAAAGGATTTGAGCCTGTGATTTTAGGTGATAATAGACCAGAGAACTGGTAGTGGCAATAACTGCTGATTTTTCCATTCAGGCTTTGATTTTTTACATTTTGAGAGTGCATAGTCTGGATGAAATATTCAGAATTTTTTCAGCAATCACTAATTAACGGCAACATCTTAACAACTGTTGAATATATTTGCTATACACCTTTATTCACTCAAGGAGGCAAGGAGAGAGGGGAAAGCAATATAGGAGAGACCTGTATTTAACAAGTACCTGTTCTGAGAATCTTAATGGCAAGTTCCGTACTGAATAAGGCCCTTAAGGCGTGCGAGTTTATATTAAAAACTTACAAGAAAAAACCCTGAAAGTTAACAAACTTAATTTTATTGCAGAACTGAATTTGAGTCTCATTAGGGGAAAATATTGTTAAAAGTACATATGAGAAGACCAGTGAGTGCAGAAGATAAGGATGTATCTAAAACAAATAGCTCACTAGGAAATTTAAAGAGGAATAATTTCTTTCTTATTTTTTATAAGGTCAGAGTGATGCATATGTTGCGTTATAGGCTTCCACCGTCGGGCCAAGATATTTTATATTTCTCTTTGCTGCTGAAATATCATTTAACAGAACCTTCAGGTACTGTTTCCTGTTGTCTCAGGTTGGACTACTTCTCATGCTGGTACAATGACCTGGGTTATACTCCATCCAGCTGAATTCAAGGTAAATAGCTCTTTTCAAACTGGTAGCCTGTCACAAGTGGGGTGCCGCAGGTGTTGATAGTGGACCCAGCGCTGTTTAGTATCTTCATAAGTAATCTGGATGGTGGAATCAGGTGTACCCTGATGACACCAGACTGACTGGGGAAGCGGACACTTCAGAAGAGAGAACCACCCTGCAGGAAGACTTGCAGACGCTGGAAGAGTGGGCTTACAAGACCCTTATGAAGTTCAGCAAGGACAAGGGTAAGGTCTCACACCTGGAAAAAGGTAATCCAAGAGGGCAGCACAAGCTGGGATCTACCTGGCTGGAAAGCAGCTCCGTGGAAAGTCCTGGTGGACAGCCAGCTCAATACGAGTGCACAGTGTGCTGCTGCAGAGGCAAAGAAAGCCAACACGATGCTGGGTTGCATCAACAAAGGCATTACTAGCAGAGATCAGGAAGTCATTATCCCACTCAGAGCTTGTCAGGCTGTACCTGGAATACTGTGTTCAGTTTTGGTCCCCACAATACAGAAAAAGGTGTGGACAGGCTAGAGAGAGTCCAGAAAAGGACCACAAAGATGATCAAAGGGCTGGGAAGCTGCCATATGAAAAAAGGCTGGGAGAACTGATCATGTTCAGCCTTGAGAAAAGAAGGCCTAGGGGAGACCTTACCACCATGTTCCAATATTTAAAGGGTGGCTACAAAGAAGATTGAGACTGTTTTTATGAGGAGTCACATGGAAAAGAAGACTGACAAGGGGTACAAGTTACTCCTGGAGAGATTCCAGTTGGACACAAGAGGAAATTTTTTCACAACAGGGACAATCAGCCATTGGAATAATCTCCCCAGGGAAGTGATGGAATCCCCAACATTGGAACTTTTAACATTTGGTTGAACAGAGTGCTGGGCCATCCTATCTAGACCATGGTGCTCTTCCCAGGAAGGGCTGGACTACATGATCCTTGACACCCCTTCCAGTCTGGTATTCTATGATTTTTTCACTGTGGTAATGCAATCTTCTACGTCAAGCAGAAGTCACTTCACTTCCTAAAATTTACTGTAGTTCTAGGTAGTTGAATAGGCAACTATTTTGTTCTTTTTAGTGGTTCTTTGCTTCTGGCTCGACTATTCCTTTTTAATTGGGGGAGGTTGTACACAAAATCTGTCAAATGGTCAAGCATCGTGCAGGCCTGAGATTGCATTCCTAAAGGAAGTTGGTTAAAATAACATGCTGTGGTAAACAGTAAGCAATTTCTGCATTCACTAGTTATAATCGTCAGAAACTGGAGGAACTAACCAAACAAAGACCTTTATTTTGTCCAGATTTCAATTTGAGAAAAGCTGACTTAAACAGGTTACTTTTAATTGCAAGTGAAAACCAAATTTTCCAAATCTTAGACTAAAAGTGCAATGACATTCTTTAAAAAAAAAAAAAAGTGATAGTTAAGAACAAAAAAGACAATAAAATGGACCTTAATAGCACATCCTATAATAGTAAAATAAGGCTTATTGCCCAAAACTGTGTTTAAGTTCCTAGGAACAGAAGATATGTGTTCAGGAGACCTTTTTATTCTTTTAATTGGATGGAGAATTCTTGAGCCATTGAGGCTCATTTAATAAACTCTGGAATGCTAGAAGAATTAGGGGACAGGCACAACTAACGATGCGTTTTATTTAGAAAACCTAAACAGGAAGTAACTGTGGCAGTTAGTCTGAGACTGATAATTAAAAGAATTCTAGTCTGAAAGGCTTGAAACATGCATTGTACAAAGAAAGGTGCCATAGTTAATGTCCGCCAAGACTTTTAATGACAAGTTAGTCCAAAAGTCAGAATTTGCTCATAAGGAAGCCTTTTACTTTTTCTAAAGAAGCAAACTAATTAGTAAATCTGAGCATTGAGGTTTTAAAGCATCTAATGACTAGTCAGTTGGGTCTCACAGGCTTTTTCTATTGATCTAGTCGGTTTCTTTGTAAATAATTAGACGAATATAATGATCTTGGAAACCTGCCTTGTGGTTTGATTGTTGTTTTTTGAAAGCTACCTTGTATGTGGCCAAAAAAAAAAGGTTGATTTTTCTTATCAGAGATGCTGTCAAAGTGATTAGATGCAAACTGAAACTACATACTATCTAGTTAAGATTATTTTTCTAGCTCTTTAATGTAGCAAACAGACCTGACAATGTAAACAGCCAAGTTGGAGTTAGTATGTATTTTAACACTAAAAGGAATCTTCGCAACACTTTATGGGACAGTATAGTGTGTACTTTGATCCTTCCAGTTGTTACATAAAGTTTATAGATACTGAATGTCTCTCTAGGGCAGTCAGAAGACTAGATGTGACTTAGGACTCTCGAGATGAGATTCAGTGATGCGTGCTGTGCACCATTTCATGTTATTGAGGGAAGATCATTCCAAATTGTCCTCAGCCAGACTTAGGTAACTGATGTCCGCGACTAGAGAAATGAGGGATCATGCTCCTGGATCAGATGAAACAGGTGTTCATCTTTGTTGCAACCTTTAAAATGTCTGAAACTTTAAAAGTGTTAGTCTTTCTGGCAGTTTCATCTGCGTATCTGAATGATAGGTAACTGAAAATAGAAAGCTAAGAAGTTGTTTGGTATCATTAACCTTCTGACAAGAACGTTTGCAGTTTAGCATAGGTATCTCGCTTCTCAGTCTGTTTTACATAATACACTTGCCTTCCTGTGGATGGATACTTTGTTTAGAAGAATAATTCTGTGTACAACTGTCTTAGCCTAGTTACCTCTTAAAATGTTTTTTCATCATATGGTGAAGCCATAAGGAGTTGCTAGAAAAGGGGAGGAGGTAAAAAGGTAGCAAGAGCAGCTGATTATAAATTACTACTGGGGATTAATTCTAGTGGTGACTTTCTCTATGCCTTTAGTTTTGTGGTTTTAAACGTAGATTAACCCCTTTTGATATGGACTGAAAACAGTAGTAGTTTAGTATTGAGTGGTGCCACATAACTTTTATGAATGGTACATGTTTGCAGGTGTTTTGCAAAAGTAAAATTTTCTTATAAATTGAGTGCTAAATGTAAGTATTTGCACATCTTGGTAAGCTTATGTTCTTTGTACTTTTTAGAAGGACAATTATACCAACAGCTTTATATTTAGTGGGGAACCTCGTTTTACGTAAATAAAAGACAAATTAGCACTTCCTCAGAGAAGACGTAGCCAACTTCCTTCATGCATCAAACCGATATATAATCTGATTGCATATAAAGGTTTTAAGTAAATGTTACAGCATCTCTTTCATGATACTTCCCTCTGCCCCACAGTAGTGACCTTGTTAGAAAGTGATCTTGAGGTGTTTTTTAATTTCTTAAGAGACATTGAATGTTATAAGAATGTTATAACTTCAAGTCATTCTTCTTCTTTGTGCCCTAAATACATACGCCCTTATCATGTGCAAGTATGAAGGCAATAGGTCTGGAATAGGTTGTTGCTGTGTGGTGGGAGACTGTTCTCATTTATTAAAGCAGTTCATATGTTCAGGATTGTCCTTGCTTCTTATAGTTCAGCTGTACTCATTTTTCAAAGCAATAACCTAATTGCTTGTACTAATTAGAGCCTGTTAGCAAAGCAGTAGAGTATTTAGGTCAGCTTTTCTTCACTGTCCTTTTGTGCTTGTGCCTCCTGTTCCTGGCATTTCCCAATTGCTGCAGGTCCTCTTTTCAGACTTGCAGCGTGTCAGCCTTCGTTGTGATGCTCGATGTTCTACTGCTGTCCTGTTCCGCTTCCAACCGCCTGACCCATTTTCTATATTGTCATCCTGTACCACTAGTAAAGACAAAAGGCTGGCAAAATTCAAATAGCTTCTGTCAGAGATGTACATAACTAGACTGGTTTTAACTGGTTGGGTGTAGAATGGGCAGTCTGAATTATCCTTTGTTTGCAGTGATTGGTAGTTTGGTGTCTAGTTTGCAAGTCTGGTGAAGGTACAGAGAGCATTACCATTGAGCAGAAAGAGAAGGTTCCCCCCAGGAAATTTCCTCTCAGATCACTTGCTGCTATTTCCAGATGTGTACGAATCTTTGGCATGGAACTCTGGATTGGAGTGGATTCTATATTGTAGGAGAGGGGAAGGATAAACTATGGGGTATGTAAAACGATCTGTGTGTTGCTTTCCTGTGGTTCTTTTTTTTTTTTTTTCAGTGTGAGACATTCTAAGTTGATACTTCCAAGATGCAGTGTTCTTGTGCAAATATTATGTTGTAGACAAGACATTCTTCATGGAATCAGTGGCACATCTCTTGGGTCATACCACTTGTGCCTTTGATTCAAATGCACTTTTAAGCTATTTCCTGTGTAACATGGACATTGCTTGTGTAACAGAACAACTGAACAATTTGTTTGTTTGTTTGTTCATTTATTTATTTATTTAAAACCTATTTGTCTCCACTCTTGAGGTGAGTCTTATCCTCAGCTTGGCCATCACTTTTACGCTTATGCCTTCTCTTCCATCTCCCATGGCTGACCATCTCACTCTTCATATAAAAATTCTTCCTGGGATTTCATTCTAACATGTGAAATGGAACTTGTCTGTTATGAGCTGACCTGATGGTTGTTTATGTGGATATTTTTCATCTTCCTGGAGAAGAAGATCTTGTAACTTTGAAAGGAAATTGAGGCTCGGGTTAGTACTTCTGCAAGAAGGGGGAGAATATTTATAAAGATAAAACAAGCTAGAAGTACGGAGTTCTCTTCCTCACAGTGCTTTTGTTATCAGTATTTGTTTTGACAAGGTTAGACTGTACTCTGCAAACAGTTTTTGCGAGCCTGAAAATTACCACACTGAGTAACAGATATAGAAGAAATTACTTAAACAAATGTCTTCATGCTGTCTTTTCTGCTATTAGGAAATTCTGTCTGGAGTTGTGGTCATAACGAGTAAGGACACAGTCCAGCACCAAGGTATCTCATTGACAATGGAAGGATCAGTAAATCTGCAACTTAGTGCCAAGAGTGTGGGTGTGTTTGAAGCTTTCTATAACTCTGTCAAGGTAAGACTTGTACTGGTTAATATTTTTAGTACAAAACCTTTGTCTCTTTTCTCAAGGAGTTACAGCACTTCATGGCATGTAAATGATAGAAAGCAGAGAAATGCTTGGAATTGTCTAGTGATGTATGATGACATTTTGGGGGAGGAACTTGCTCTGATTGGGGAGTTTTCTTTAGGGGTGAAATACAGAAACTTAGACACTGTGGTTACTGGATGATGCATTGAAGGATGATTATTTAAAGAAAAATAATCAATTTTGTGATTTTTGTACTTTTTAAAATTTTTTTTTAAGTGACTGTGTCACTATCACAATAATTTCTGTGGAGGTTATGTGTTACTAGGCATGATACAGGACCTGCACAGATTCTTCTGTGGAGTATGAGGCTGTGCACAGACTGTTCGCCTGTGGAGCCTGAGTCTGTCTAAAGGCAGTACAGCTACATTTGCAAAACAATTTGCTTAAGTTAAAACAACCTTGGTGAAGGGCCTTTTAAGGTTTTCATTTGTGTCATAGTTAATTTGTTTATAGTATGAATAATCTGCCCAAGAATGATTGAAAAACAGAAAAAAAAGCAGTAGAAGCAATAGATTTTCTTATTCCCGTCTAGTAGAGGGAAAACAATAACAAAACTCCAGAAAGAAAAGAAGTGTAATTTTCAAGCAGACCTCCTCAGTTGGATCATAGTTAACCATTGTTCCAGCGAGCAACTAACCCTATGTATAGATCTTTAGGGTGGGAAAGGGCTGCGGAGAAGATGGGAAGGAATGGCTAACTGCTCAACAGGCACACATATTCGTTGACTGCTGCTACTACTATTAAGGGCCATAATTTAGAAAATGGAGCTCAACTTTCCAAAGTGCTTGAGACTCTGCCGTTTAGCTCTCTAGATGTGTTTGGTCATTAGTATGATACAACTGTAAAATGGATCACAAATTGTTTTCTTGAGGAAAGTGTTCTTAATATTTCTAAGACTAGAGAGCTGTGTGTCATGAAGAAATACCTGAGTTTCTGGTAATTCAGAAGTCTATTAGAGTTTATTGGATATTGTTCTTGAAATGATGGGGCTGTCACTCTGCTTTGACCTAAGCCTCCTAATATTTGTCTTTGCAGCCTATTCAAATTATTAACAGCACCATTGAAATGGTGAAACCAGGGAAACTTCCCAGTGGCAAGACAGAAATTCCATTTGAATTTCCACTGCATGTGAAGGGGAACAAAGTTCTGTATGAGACATACCATGGTGTCTTTGTTAATATTCAGGTAAGACAGTCATATCTGTAAAGAAAACCTTTTGTTATCTGAAGAATGTGCTTGAAAGCATCTCTTATTTCATGGAAGCAGAGGATAAAGTTTTCTTTTCTTATTGCGGTATGCTTTCTCAGTCTGAAGAAAGAGAGAAAGTTAGAGATCCCTTGGAGTAAGTAGTTCTTATTAATACAGCATTCTTCTGTATTTTCTAGATATTTATAACTTAAAATCATCATATATATTAACCTTTTAACTACTACTTTGTAGGTAGTTTCTAATTGCCTTTTTTTCCAGTTTCTAGGAGTCAACACTTTCCAGAGATAGTAACACTTCTTAAACTTAGGAACCATCCTGACCTCTCAGATTCTCATCAAAATAATGTTGCTTTTAAAAAGTTCTCATATCTCTTCCCTTTTCTTTTTCAGCAAATTTAGGCTTTTCATTGGAAATAGTTGATGATACTGAAACTGGTCAGATGTTATATGGGATGTGCCAGAGAGAATTAAAAACATACTGAAAAAGAGGGACTTTGGCTTGAGAAAGGATCAAGTATATTTTAAACACTTGTTAAATCTTATACGATTCTTTTACAAGGTGATGTTTTCGTCTAGTTCTGATTTTATTGTTAAAGAAGTTGCATCTACCATTTTGTGGATAATCTACACAGTAGTGCATACCTAGATACAAGTGTGTTTGCTGTTAACCTAGTACCAGTGAGACTTTAGAATCACAGAATCATTGAGGTTGGAAAAGATGTTTAGGATCATCAAGTCCAACTGTTAATGTGGCACTGCCAAACCATGCCCTCAAGCACCACATCTACACATCTTTTAAATACCTCCAGGGATGGTGACTTCACCACTTCCCTGGGCAGCTGTTCCAATGCAGAACAGCTCTTTCAGTGAAGAAATTTTTCCTGATTTCCTAATTTAAACCTCCCTGCAACTAGGGGCTATTTCCTTTTGTCCTATCTCTTGTTACTTGGGAGAAGAGACTAACCCCCACCTTGCTACAACCTTTTTTCAGGTAGTTGCAGAGAGCGATAAGGTCTCTTATCCCTCAGCCTCTTTTTCTCCAAGCTAAACCCCTCCAGTTCCCTCAGGTGTTCCTCGTAAGACTTGTTCTCCAGACACTGCACCAGCTTCATTGTCTTTCTTTGGACATGCTCCAGCACCTCAAATTTCTTTCTTGTAGTGAGAGGCCCAAAACTGAACACAGGATTCAAGATGCAGCCTCACCAGTGCCGAGTACAGGAGCAGAATGACGTCCCTGGTCCTGCTGGCCACACTATTTCTGATACAGGCCAGGATGCTCTCGGCCTTCTTGGCCACCTGGGCACAATGCTGGCCCATGTTCAGCCAGCTGTCGATCAGCACCCCCATATTCTTTTCGGCCAGGAGTTTTCCAGCCACTCCTCCCCAAGCCTGTAGCGCTGCTGGGGTTGCTGTGACCCAGGGGCAGGACCCGGCGCTTGGCCTTGTTGAACCTCATCCAACTGGCCCTGGCCCATGGATCCAGCCTGTCCAGGTCCCTCTGCAGAGCCTTCCTGCCCTCCAGCAGATCAACTTTGTTACCATAGTAGACAAGCAATTGCTGCTAGTAATACTTAAATATTAAAAATCAAGTGTACTGACTTACCAGATCCATTTTAAGACATAGGTGTGAATCCTACAGAAACAAAGCTACCTGGTATTCAGAGTCTGTTTTCCTGCATTCATGAGATGTGTCCTCTAACTAGAGGAAATCTTTCCATCATTTATTGTTTCAGGCCTTCCATATGGTGTAGATCTTTAAAGAATGATTGTATGAACAGAACAGTAACAAGATGTCTTGCCTGAAGTACCTTGTCAGAGCTACAGTAACATATATCTGATGCCTCCTTATGTTGTATACAGCCACATCCATTCCTTTCATGAAAAAAAAAAATGCCCCACAGTGTCCTTTTGTTCAAAATAAGTGTGGCTATGTCATTTCATAATGAAGATGCAAACCAAAGTGTTGAGAGTTTGTAGCATCTTCAAAACCATGAATCGCTCGTTTTCCTGGGGAGATGAGTAGTAACATTTGCGGCCCAAATCTGTGTACTACGTGTTTGTTACAGAGTCTTGTGGAAAGACAATTTTGAAATTTGACTTTTTTTCGTTAGAAATTGTCTTAACCGTAGGTGGGTTCATTTGTTTAGGGCTTAGTTTTGGTTGGCTGGTGGTTTTTTTTGTTTTCTTTTTCTTTTTTTAGAGGAAAGTCTTTCTTCAGCCATCTCCTGAACATGATGCCTTTTCTTAATGAGGAGTGTTTATTTTTTTTAGTCTGTGTGTTGGTGTTCTTTTTTTTTTACCTTCAAGGAAAAAGTTAAAGGAGCCACTAAATGCAAAAAATCTCAAGACCAGTGCTGATGAAGAATCACTGGGTTGTAAAACAGTTTTGGTTGGTTTGGTGGTTTTGGGTTTCTTTTCCCCGACTTGTAGCTAACTGATAGAGAGTAATTGGGTTGATTGAATTTGATGACAAAGTCTAAAACTGTTACCTATTTAGCTGAACTGGAGGTCTTATATCACAGTTTTGGATTTAAAAAAAACCCAACAAACAAGCCAAAACCCCATACCTGCCCCTCCACTAGCCTATCACAAGTAACTAAAAGAAAAATGCCTCGGTTTTCTGTCTACATTTAGATGATTTTGTACTCCCGTATCTTTTTTCCTTCTTGGTTTTCTTCCTAACATAACATCTGTTGTTTGTAGTAGGTATGTCAGAAATGGTGCAAAACTGGTTAAGTTGCTTTCCATAATCCAGATAACTTGCCTATGATCAATATCAGTTGTTTTAAGGTATACTTCAATGGTGGATATTTCTTCTGCTTTGTCATTTCCTTTCTCATCTACATAGCTTCTTGTTCTGGGCTGGTAATAAAATGTAATTAAAAGGTCAATCATTGTATTTCAGCTAGCCTTTGAGAGTCCTGTTTTCCTGAAGAGGAAAATGTAGTGCTGAGGTGCTGTTTAAGAAATACTTCCTAGACCTCTGTCCAAGTCCTGTGCAGTTTAAGGCCTCTGTTTCTTGATCTTGGTATTAGGATGTCAGCTGGGGGTTCAGTATCAAGATTCAAGTCTGTTCTCCTGCAGAGACCTTCTCATTAGACACTAAGCAGGCCACTGCCAAGTTACAAGGCCTGCATGGCCTCCTGCCTCCTTGCACTGTGTTCCCTGCTCTGAGGAAAGCGTGGTGCAGTAATAGACTGTGGTCAACCTCGGTGTAAGCCATAGGCTGTGATGGGGAAAGAGACACTCCCCGTTCTCGTTTTTGCACACATATTCATGTTATATGCAGAGAGGCACTGCAAACTAGAAGTTATGAAGCTGAGTCCCTAGTCTGAGCACGCTTGGTTTTGCCAATTCCTCATGTGTAAAGGAGTTCAAACCAAACCAAACAACAACAACAAAAACAAACCCACAAAACACCCCAACAAATTCCCTGTCTTGTAAGGACATTGAAAGGCTGTGTTATGGATGCTGAAGTGAATGATTATTTTTATAATTAAGGTTGTATTTTTTCTTCAGTCATCGGTTTATGGCTCCCTTTTTAGGAAACAGAGGGGAAGAAATCAACAGCAAGTTTTTGAACAGTAAAAGTAACCTTGCTGTCTGCATGCTGTTGCTTTTAAGTTCAGCTATATGGTCAAAGACAGTTCCCTATTAAATATGCATATAACTGTTACCACTGCTAAATTCAATCTTAGAATAAACTTAAAATTTGAGGGGCTGTGAATGAATCTTATTGATAATCACTTATCTGAAGTGTGATGATACTTTTCACCACTCTTAACCAAATGTATTTTGGGTGCTAAAGCTATACAAGAATACTACTGTCTGTCAGTGATTTAGTCCCTCAATCTCATGGGTTGTGATGTAACACAGAAGATATGGAAAGTATTTGCAAGTGACTGCAGGACTGTAAAAATGAAGAAAAATCAGCTTTCCCATCTAAAATCATTGTACACCTTTTACCTCCTTCCGCCCTCCCCATCACCAGTATGTACATTGCCTACAAATCTATTTTAAATAATGCCTTAAATACTAGTAACAGTAATGTTCTGCTCATAGGCAATGAAAAGCTGAAAAGTTAAGAGAGAGAGAGGAAATCTTAACTAAGGCTCTCCTATTTTTTTCTGCCATCCTGTTCTTGCCAGTATACCCTGCGGTGTGATATGCGACGTTCTCTGCTGGCAAAAGACCTAACTAAGACTTGTGAATTCATTGTCCACTCCCTGGTAAGTGTGGTTTGTATTAACTATGCAAAATGAGATTTTCTTTTTCTTTTTTTTTCTCCCCACTTTAAGTGAGGTTTTGCAGTAAGTTTAGAAAACCAAGGAAAACTGTGTAATTTGTAATGGCAACACACAGGATATGTATGAGTAAAGGAAGTTAGCCTCAAACCAAAAAAAATCCAGCAGAGCCAGGGTGTCAGTTACTTCTGATTACAATAACACATCTCTCTTTTTCATTTAAAGAAACTAGTTCAAAGAGGATTTCAATTACAAGATGTTTTTGTACTGCGCTGAGCTTACTGTCTTATTCATCTTTTCAGTTCTGAAACAATGGTGTGGTTAGATAAATATTATGGTGTTCTTCTAAACACTGTTTCCTATTATCTGAGTATTTCTTAGCCAAAGGTTCCAGGCACCCACAGTGCCTGTCCTAGAAATGGGAGTTCATTGGTGAAGAGAAAATGTCCGATTTCTGTTCTTCAGATGACTAGTTATGATTTAGAGCTCTGACTTAAAGTATCAAAGCTGGGACTGCATCAAGTTGGAAATGAGAAGCTTCTCAGCTTAATCACCTTTGCTAATAAGTGCGCCCGTGGTTGGCAATATGCTAAGATAACTAGGTTAACAAATATCCACATCCTGTGGTTAGCACATGGAGACAGCCTTCCTCCCGTGGAGATATTGTGGGATGAAATTTGACAGTCTCACAAGAAATGCTTTGCTGCTTGTTATTTGAAGTTCCTTGGGTTTTGTTTAGATTGACTTGTGCGCATGTCCAGAGCATCTGATGTCAGTACAGGCTGTGCAAGCCTAATTAAATATCTCTTTTTCCACCCACAACTTGCTAGAACACACTGTTTCTATCATTCTTTTGTACTCTTTAACAGGGCAGTAAAGAATTAGACTCTTTTGTCTTACTTATGAACAGTAGTGGAAATATGTCATTTTAGTTCTGTAATACCTTTTTAAAAATCTAGCTAGGTGCTATAAAGAAGTTTCTTGTTGGTAAGATTTCATTATTTTCTGAAATATATTATGCAATGTTTCATTTGTCTGTTATTACAAGTATTACACTTGTCAAAGTAGTGAACAAATTACATATTTTGCAGTTTCTTGGTTTTATTTCTTGTTCCCTATACGCACTTCTTAGATCACAAGTCAGTAAATCATGAATCTCTCATGGCGAATTAATGAGGTTTTACTGAACATACAATTCTCACTGTCAGTGCTCCATGTACCGTTTCCCTTAACCTTATTCCTTGCCAGATTTTGTCATTTGTGGGAAAATACAGTCAAACTTTTGCTAATATCTTCCATCTTGCAGCTGGGCAGCAGGCACTGTTTTGAATTCTTAAGCAGTGAGAGCAGATGCTAACTCACAGTTCAAGTTAAGCCCATTGGTGATTGTGTGCTCTGCTAACTTTTTTACATACTATTGAATCTCTCATAACTGACGCTGCTGCATTGGCCACTTATTCTAAATATGTAGGCAAAAGACAGTGCACCTCACTGAGATAAGGATGGAGAGAGAGAGGCCGGTGAATGGTAAGTGAAGCTTGCCTTCCTGCTGCAGGGTACATGCTGCCGTCTCAGCAGAGCTCGGGGCCTGTTCAGCCACTGAGGAGAGACTTAACTTCATGGTTTTGTGGTAAATGAAGTGAATAGGTGCTGAAGAACTGTAATAATGTGCCCCCAAAATTGCTTCTGCGGTGTGGAAAGATAACCTGGGCCAAATTGTGTTTATTTTACAGTTAAAGAAGCTGGAATGCCACCCATTAAATCAATGCTACGCTAGATTCCATCAGCTGAGGATCTCCTAGTAATATGAGGATGGCTCAGGAGACCTTAGCTGTTGCTGAAAGGGCAGCAGAAAGAGGTCAGAGTGCCCAGAGATATAACAAGAGGGAGAAAGAATTTATAAAACATATTGGAGGAAGTTCATTTATAATCTCCTCTCCTATGCCCAAATATATCAAGTATTAGTAATGAAAGAAAACATTGCAAGTGACATATAAAATGGAATTATTTGTAAATACAGAAATGTCAAAATTACTTTTTTTCTAGAGCGTACCATATACTTCTTAGTGTATTTCTTCTTTTCCAGGTGGTTTAGAGTAGCCAACCACATGTTTTGAGCTAGTGTTCCTTCTTGTGGGTTTTTTTTTGTTAGTGTAGGTAGTGCTTATGCCAAAAACTTAAATGGATAGCTCATTGTGGTTTATTGCATTGGCAAACACAAAGTAACCAAAAATTGACACAGTTCTGTTTCTACGGCTGAGATTTGTGGTGCATTGTGACTTGTGTTTAGACAATATCATAATGTCATTTATTAACAAAGACAGGAAATCTCAGGTTTTTTATTACATAGATGCATGCTTTCAGTATGACAACAATCCTGAAAACTAAGGCATCCAAGTTACTTGACTTTGTCTTTTCTAATATGTTCTCTGTGTTTTGTAAATCTTAGTTTACAGTTTAACTGTCTCATTACTATAGTCACAGAAAGGGAAGCTGATGCCAAGCCCAGTAGACTTCACAATTACTCCTGAAACTTTGCAAAATGTTAAAGAGGTAAGGGATTTCTTACTACTTTATTTTAAATGCAATGCTGAGTGAGAACGAGAAAAATGATTAAATAGTGCCCTGAAGATAATCAACTCTTCCTTTTTCCCCTCCCTTTTTCTCCTTTTTTACTTTTGTAAGCAATAAAGTGATTCTGCCTGATCTCTTGAGGTAATAGTGACTAAAGTGGAACATTGTTCAGTAATGGTTAACGTTTTCTATGATTTTTCTGAGTGAAAGATGGCAGTGAAGCAAGGGAGAAAATTCTGTACCATGAGTAGCCAAGATCCTATAAAAATGCATATTTTGATCCTTGATTATACCGTTTTTTACATCCCCATGTGTCTTTGGGAAGCCTGTAGGGACAACAGTAGCTGTCTTGGTAACTTAGCTTTCTGACCACTGGTTTCTGTTTGTCCACTGAAACCTATGTTGCATTTTTCCAGATTTTCCTGTTGTGCTCTTTTTGTTAGTAAGACTACTTCCCTGCCTTAGGTCTCTCTTCTGCATCCTCAATTTGTCTTCTGTTGCTCTTAGTCCCAGACTTTTGAATTTAGACCTACCCTTCCATTCATTTCTCAAAACAGACCTCTTAATCAATTGTTTGTTTGTTTCATGCTATTGTTGACCTTTTTTTACATATTCACAGAATCGTTGTCGTTGAAGGGGACCTCTGGAAATGGGTTAGTCCAGCCCCTGTGCTCAGAGCAGTCATCTAGAGCAGGTTCTTCATGAGCAGTCAAGTGTTCATATCTCAAAGGATGGAGACTTGCAACCACTCTGTAATGTTGCAGTGTTTGACCACCCTCACAGGATTTAAAAAACAAATAATAAAAAGTTTTGAAGTAATTTTCCTTTATTTCGATTTGTTCCCATAGCCTCATGTCCTTTTACTAGATACCACTGAGAGGAGTCCGACTCAATTTTCTTTAGTCCTTCCCATCAGTGATTTTACTTCTCAGCTCAGTCTTTTCTAAGAAGCTGCACTTTAAGAAGTTAACAGCGTGTTTTTGCAGACAGAGTCTGCTACTAGAAGTTATAATGCCTGATGTTTCTAGTTACTGCCAAATATTGGGATCCAGAAAGGCTCTTGCTTGTACTCACAGCATAAGCAAGTATAAGGTCGCTGCTAAATCTTGTGTGACACATGGGTACCAGGAAGTAAAAGGCTCATAAGGAAGTAGACAGTTGCACCTCCATGGAGGAGCAAACAGGGCAGGTGACCCAGCCCTGACCAGCGAGAATGTTCCATTCCATGTATGTCATATTCAATGTGAAGCTGAGGGATCACGGGGGTTAAGCCCTCTTCTTTGATGGCGGGTGTCCAGGAAGAACTCTGTCCATTCTTCTGCCTTTGATCCTGATCCTGGGTTCCTGAATCCAGCTCCTGTATCCAGTTCCCCTCTGCTGCTGGGCCTGGGCTTTTCGTGGGGCTTTCCTAGTACCTTCCTGCTCTGCACCATCAGTGGCAATTGCTTTTGGGGAGATGGGGGAGTTGAGTATGATATTGGATTTGTACATATTTCACTATTTCTGTTATTTTTATTATTTCCTTAGTAGTAGTATTATTGTTTATTAAAGCTGTTTTAATTTTCTGATCCATCACTTGTTTAGTGGCCGGCCCAGCCCTAATCCTTGACACCATCAAAGGCTGGACTTGCTCTAGAAGTCTGTGTTTTTTGTACCAGGAAGTCCTGAATTGAACACGTTCTCACCAGTGCTGAAGAAACGGGAAGAATCACCTCCCTCAACCTGCTGGCAGCACTTTCTAATGCAACTCAGGATACTGTAGGTCCATTTGATTAACCTGTTGATGTTCCTGTGAAAGGCAGCACAACTTTCTGGTTTACCAACCACTCCTCTCAATGTTGTGTTATCTGCAGCCCTGCTGAGGAGGTGGCACCGTGTCCCATCCAAGCCATCGTAGATGTGAGGTAATATTGGCTCCGGTATGGGCCCCGGTCACTGAAGTACACCACTAGTGACTGGCCTTCAGCTGGACTTTGTGCTACTGATCACAAATCTTTCGAGTCCCACAGTTCAGGCTGTTCTCAGTTCACCTCAGTTTCTAATCTGTACATCTAGTCTGTGCTCTGTCAGTTTGACAGTGAGGTTGTTAGGAGGAACAGTATCGAAAACAGCACTCAAGCCAACATAAACAGTGTTCGCTGCTTGTCCACCAAGCTAGTCATTTCATTGTAGAAGGCTATCAGGTTGGTTAAGCTTGATTTCATTTTCGTAAATCCATGCTGACTGCTTCCAGTCACTTTATGTGTCCTTTATATGTCTGTAAGTGAATTCTGGGCTTATTTGCTCTGTTGCTTTCCCAGGGATTGAAGTAAGAGTGACGAGCCTATAGTTCCTCAGATCTTCCTAACTGAAGGCACAAGTGACATTTACTGTCTTCCATTCCTCAGGAACCTTCTTTGTTCATGACAGCCTTTCAAAGGTAATCAAGATTGGCCTCATGGTGACATGGATCAGCTTCCTGAGCATTTGTGGGTATGTCCCATCAGGTCTCATGGACTTCTGTGCATCCAGTCTGTTTGGATGTTCTCTGACCTGCTCCTCCTCTACCAAGGATGACTCTTCCCTGGGATAGACTTTCCTTTGGTTGCAGGGGCCTGGGATTCCTGAAAGCAAATCGGATCAGTAAAGTCTGAGGCAGAAAGGACATTAAATACCTCTGTCTCTTTCATGTCTTTTAGCACTAAGTCCCCTGCCATATTCAGTAGCAGGCTGACATTTACCCTCATCTTCCTTGTGCAGCTGGTAGACTTGTAGATGCCCCTTTTTGTTGTCCTTTATGTCTTTTAACTCCAGGGGTCTTTGGCTTTCCCAAAACCATCCCTGCAGACTTGGATAGTGTTTTTGTGTTCCTCCTAGGTCGCCTGCGCCTGCTTCCATCTTTTGTGTACTTCCATTTTATGATTTTTATCAGTAGCATCTTTTTTTCATCCATGCAGGTCTCTTCCTACCTTTGCTTGACTTCCTGCCTGTTGGAATGGACTGTTCTTGAGTGTGGAGGAGGTGATTCTAGAACCAGCTGTCACGGCTGACCTCTAAATCCAGCTGAGTTAGAGGATGAGCAGGTTGTGTCCAGCAGTCTCACATGTCTCTGGAAACTGCTGCACACTGCAAACATGTTTTTCCAGATATAAGGACATTCTTGGTGGTAAACCTAATTTTGAGACTACTGCTAAATACTCAGCTCTCAGCAGTCTGCTCTTCCTATGAATCACATTTCCATATAAATTACTTTCTGTTTCTTCTTTCTCTTGTGTATCTTGATACTGTACTCACTGGTTTAGCAGATACTCAGTGGTGTACATCATGAGTGAGAGTCCTGTCCATTAAAAGCTCTTTCTTAAGTTTAATAGCAGGCCCTGTGCCTTTCTCTAGTTCAAGTACATAACCCCACAAATAAGTTATAAAACTTGTGACATCTGTGATCCAGCAGATGTTAGTATGTAATCATGGTTTAAAGAATGGTCTTGACTGTCTATGGTAGCACAAGCAGTGGGATCCTTTTTATTTATTTATTTACTTTTTTATTATATTTTATTCCTCTCCGTATCTCAGAAAAATCTATAGGTCTGGTGAACACTTGGTGAACAGGTAGAAAAAGTCACTGGTTTTGTATTAAAATTTCAATTCTATGCTTGTCTGGAGATTGTGACTGAACTATAATTTATCAGACTACTAAAAAATTGATGAGGAGGTTTACAGTAGCCAAGCAAAGCACAAAGAATCATAGAATGGCCTAAGCTAGAAGGGACCTTAGAGATCATTTTAATCCAATCTCCCTGTCACCAGGGACGCCACCTCTCGACTAGATCAGCCAAGACATGGGGACCGAGCGGGAATCGAACCCGCGACCTTAGTGTTGTTAGCGCCACGCTCAACAAAGTCAGATGAAAAACCAGGATAGGTTTGCTTCCGTGTTCTTGACTCTCATTTCTGGGCAATTATGAAATAGAGTGTAAATTATAGGTCCTATGAGAGAAGATCTAGCTGGAATTAAAATATGATGAGCACAGACAAGAGTAATAAGTTTGTAGGGGAAATATACCTTTAAAAAAATAAGGCTTGTAGACTGGGATTGAGGAAAATGGCCTCAAGTTCTTGTTCCACAAGTTCCTTTTATCTCTGTCTTTTGGGTTCCTGGCCACTGCGCTTCAGAGGGTAGCTATATGATGTCTCTGTGGAGCAGGAAAGCAACTCTGTGTTTACTAATAGTGGTGATGAGAAGAACCTGAGAGGGATCATACATTAAAAAGCTTTTTTTAAAATGCTAATACATTATTAAGACTCAATATTTCATAGGGTAGTTTGTCAGGAATGTAACTTCTGTTATTTAATTTCTGAGGAAATACCCAAGTGAGGCCACATTGACTAAACACATGAAAACTCCTCTCGCTTTATTTCCCCCAAAGATTTGTTTTGAGCGGAACAGCTAAATTTTGCAGAGTTGTTGGGCATCGGAGTGAAACAGTCTAAACAATAGCTGAGGAGAAGGTTTCTGCCACTGCTACTGGCAGCCAGGACCAAGAAGCAAAACAAACAGATTGGGGAAAAGAAAAAGTTTGTGACGAGAGAGTTGGTTTGGAAGAAGGGAGAGTCAGTTCCATGGGCAGGGAAATCTGGTGCCCCAAGCAAGTGTGAGCAGATGGTTGGAAGGTAGGGGCTAATGTCAAAAATGCCAATAACAAAAAATGAAGGAGAGAGAGAAGAATGAGGCTTGTAAAAGAAGGGGAAGGTTAGAGCAGGGTGCTTGAAGAGTTTGAAGGAAGTTGGATGGTGAAGATGTGAGCTGAGATGTGGGTAGAAAATGACTGTTTCAGTATGCCTCCTGCCAGAACTTGAAATGTAACTCGAGCTTCTGGCCTATGAGTTTCTCTGCTGGCAGCGAGTATCTGCGATGCCTGCTGGCCTGAAACAGAGAGGGGCAGAGGGAGCAAAACCCCCACTTCCGTCTTTTATGGAAACTTATGTATAGACTGACATCCTCAATGAGCTATTCTTACTGCTCCTGCCTTAAAAAGTAGGAAACATGCTTGCCATTTAGAAAAATTTAAAAGTGTGATCCTGTGTTCAAATTATTTATTAATTGTCCCTAATTGGGAGTTTTGATGTATAAGCAGGATGCTACATCTTGCATCAGATGATTTTTAAATGCCCGTCTTCCCTCCCAATAGCAGCCATGAGAGAAATTTTAAAAGGTGGGAAAATCCATAACAAACTGGGAGAAGAACGCAGTTCTCCAGAGCACTGCCAGCTCATGTAACTTGACCATCTTGTTAGTTGCTGCCAACCTACCTCCTTCACCATGCAGTTACCGATTTCTGGATTAAGTGTAATAGCCAAGTTTTGCCAGTTCATCACAGAAAAAAGGCTCCTCTGGACAGAACGAAGAGAGGATGCATGTTGGAGGCCAAGGTGGTACTAGGAGTTATTTTAATGCATAAGGATGCTTGTTTAAAGAGTTATTTGAGTAACTTAACGCATTACTGAATTTCTGAGTTCGTAACTTTTGCAGCGTTTTGGGATTTCCTCTATACTTTGATAACTGTCTTTCTGTAACCTATTTTTTTTCATAGTCTGCTCTTACAGTTGTGTCTTTCCCCCTCCCTCCACAATCTTTTCAGAGAGCTTCACTTCCAAAATTTCTCATCAGAGGCCACCTCAATTCGACAAACTGCATCATCACCCAGCCGCTAACAGGGGAGCTGGTAGTGGAGAGTGCAGAGGCTGCAGTCAAAAGTATTGAGCTGCAGTTAGTACGAGTGGAAACCTGTGGTAAGTTGCTCTGTAAATGGAATGTGTATGGGCTGCAGTAATTGCCATTTGCACTCTTTCAGCTCAAATGTGAAAGATTGTCAAAAGCCGTACAATTAAAAAGACTTGCAAAAAATTGTTTTGCACTTAAGGTGTAACAGTCTAAATGTTAATTTAAATGACCTCTGTAATCCTTAACTCAGAGCGTTAATGTGAAAACTTGCAGGTCAAGGGCAAAAAACTGCATTTTGCCCATGCATACCACCTCCTCAAGCCCAGTGTGTCTTTGTTTTAAATTTTGGCCACTGCCTTCTCTTTACTCTTTCCAGAATTTTCCCCCTTTCACCAGGGTGTGCTGAAGGTTATGCCAGAGATGCCACAGAGATCCAGAACATTCAGATTGCTGATGGGGATGTCTGCAGGGGCCTACCCATTCCCATATACATGGTGTTCCCCAGGTTGTTCACCTGCCCCACCCTGGAAACCACAAACTTCAAAGTTGGTGAGTGCGTAGGACTACCCTGTGTTGGCGCCTTTCATCTGAGAGAAGTTTCTGGTTTTGCTTTAGCTTCTGGCAGGTAACAGGATAAATGGGCGACAGCACTGCAAGAGCCCCCAAGGACATCCGGGTGTCCCTGGAGAGGTTTCTGGACAGGGCTGCAGTCTGCTGTGTTGTGTATAGATGGAGGAAATACAGCCCGAAGACTTCAAACTGGAAGTAGTTGTTCAACTGTTAAGCTACTTCTGGCTGGTGCAGTTACAAGGTAAAAGGACAGGAGAAGCAGTGTAATGGCAGGGTTTGTTATGTTGTGGTTTTTTTTCCTGCCTAAAAATTACATGTGATTAAACGCTTGAGGAATAGCCCAAGAGAAGAATGCCATAATGATCCCTTCCTTCTTCTCATCACCAGCAAGAACGACCTTCCATTCCCTTTCCTTTTAGTTTCCCCTTTCTCCTGCTGCATAATCTTGGAAGTAAAAGTAGTAAGGTTAGGCTGTGACATTGCTTTTCTTGATGTACACCAGCTGCTTCTTCCTACTTATTGCCAAAATCCCATGTTTTCCTTAAACACCTGAAATTTAGGATTTTTTATTGTATCACATTGAAGCTACAAGTCCCTTTACAATCCTTCCCAACTGAATCCCCTCCTGTGTTTCTGCTGTATATCGTGCATAAGTGTGCACAACTAGTTTCTCAGGTTTGCCTACAGGTTTATATGTTCCCCCAAGAGTGTTTTTGCACCTGATGTGTACAGTGATTTTCCCCAAAATTATATTCTTCTCTCCTTCTTTGCCATTCTAGCTATTGAATAGTAATTTACAGCAACAAATGGCTACTGTTAGTGTAGTACCTACTTTTATTTACAAGAACAGTCTTAATATAGTTTTGAAGATTCTAAAGAAGGACAATTATTTTCATAGAATCACAGAATGAGTTGGGTTGGAAGGGACCTTAACAATCACCCAGTTTCAACCCCCTGCCATGGGCAGGGACACCTCTCTTCCACCAGCCCAGGTTGCTCAAAGCCCCATCCAGCCTGGCCTTGGACACTGCCGGGGAGGGGCCATCCACAGCTTCTCTGGGCAACCTGTGCCAGTGTCAGGAAGAAGTTTTCAGTTTATTTTGATCTCTGATTCCCTTCCCTTGTTCTCTATACCCGACTTTGTATTCCATCTCCATTTAGGATTGATTACAGATCTGATACTGATTTTGGTTTTGAATACTATGATACAGTATGTAAAAAGCAGATTTTGAATTCTTTTCTAAAGTTTGCAGGTATATTGTGCTTTGGTGTTTCATTTCATAACGCAGGATTCTAAGGCTGTGTTGCATATGACAGCAGGGAGGAGTCTGTTCCCTAACTCTTCCACTTACACGCTTCTAAACAATGCACATTGGTGCAAGGCGTCTTTCCCCCGACATTTAATCTTAGGTGTCTGAACTCCACCTGTTGTCCAGGTGGAGACTAAATATCATCATTCTTTAGTGATACAGAAATGAATCCAAATACTAGAAAGAGCCAAGGTTCTCTAGGAACAGCCCAAGGTCTGAGATGCCTCTGGTGAGGTTCTGGCTGGAGAACCGTGTTCATCCCTGACACAGGAAAATCCAGGGTATTGGAACAGCTTGGCAAGTGCCAAGAGCAGGAACTGCTGCCTCTCATCCTACTGCTGCTGTGCACATTCATCTGGAACTCTTTTTTTTTTTTCTTTTTTCTTTTTCCCCTCCCTTTTTTCTAGAGTTTGAAGTTAACATCGTTGTCCTTCTACATGATGATCATCTCATCACAGAAAACTTTCCACTGAAGCTGTGCAGGATGTAAATAGCCAGAGGAGAATCACTTAAGGATTTATGGAAAAAAGACAAAAATCTTCAGAGGCGAAGTTTTATCCATGTCTGATTTTAACTGAAAAAAATTCACTTGTTGACCCTTCTGGGTGGCTCTTGTGCTTTCAGTTCTCTCTAAATTTTGCTAAGACATCGCCTGCCCTGCAGTAGCCTAATGTGGACAGCATTGTCAGGTATATTTCTGACTTTGACAACCATGTTTTTCACAGTTTTTCTCAGAAAATCTTGAAGGGATTATTCTTGTCTATTTCTACAACTTGCAGAACTATGCAGCAAGTTTCTCTCCTAAATTCACTTTGTAGTACTTCTTCGAAGTCCTGTAAAGACCTCGTAAATCCTGTTATACACAGTGTATATATGCTGGGGGAGGGAGGGTATGGGACTTGTAATATAATATTGAATAATGTCTTTGATGGTGTAATAAATGGTGCTACAACAATGCAAAGTGGTGGCGTGGGGTGAATATTGCAAGCTGAATGCGAAATAAGTGATGTGAAATAACATCAAGTGTATTTTAGTCCAAGTGGGAATATGGAGGAACGCTGAGAACTGAAGTTGTTCTTGTGTGTAGTCCTTCCCTGGCATCTTCCCTGGATTAGAAAAATAATGCCCTTACTTTATCTTTACCATTTGTGTAAAATAACCCTGAAAAAGATCAGTCAAAATATTTTAGTCTGAGAATATAATTATTCTTTGCATGGTAACATATTCCTTTTGTGAGACTTCTACAGCTCAGTGTGGATGTGAAAAAAAAAAAAAATTGCACCACTAAGTCGCTGCAGACTAGCTTGTGCTGATGGTGGAAAAAGAGCATTAAAAATGTCTGTGCTGTGGCACCTCGTGCCTTTAGGACATGAGTTACTATTTTATGACTAACCATTCTAAGGAGGACGGTCGCCCTTTTTAATTAGGTGGGTTAATACTGTCACTTGTTCAACTTAAAGGAAAAAGGAAAGAAGTATGTTAAGGTAAATACGATAAAGTGTAACTATACATCTTAAAGGAACTACATAGAACAACTATTTCAGCAAGAAATGACTTCGTTGTAAGTTTTGTTGTTTTAATTCACAATTTCATTCTAATTGTGAATTTTCCATACACTATTATGGGGGGTGGATGCAGCCTAAGTATGTAAAGTGTAAAGAAGACAACAGAAAGACAGAATTAAGAAAACCGCCCTTTAGCTTCATCCAGCAGCACTGCCAGGCAGGAAAATTTAATTCTAGGTTTGGCCCTGGTTCATTATCATCTGTATTTTAGGACTAAACATCTGAAATTCTTACTTCAATGTCTTACAGCAGAAAAAACCAACCAAACAAAACAAAAATGTATTTACTGGAGCTTAACAGTTGTCCAAGAGCCGGGAATCATTTTTTGAAAAACGAAAGCTGTTCTTTTTCTAGTCTCCATGCTGCTGCAATATGCTGTACGAGTGCCACCTGCTGCTCAGAGGGACACTGTCACCCACCACCTTCCACCGTGACTTGGAAAGAGGGCCACGTGTGGGACAGCCTGGCCACTGCTGAGCAAGTCAAGGAGACCGCTGCTCTTGAAAAGTGTCCCCAGTGCCAAGGACTGAGGCTGCTTTTGTGAAAAAAACCAGAGCTGATGACACACGTTTGTGTGTCTTCCCCCCCAAAAAATACAGCAGCTGAAAGGGATGCAAGAGCTGAGCAGTGCAGCAGCTGGTTCTTGAGGCAGCAAGGTGCCTGCTGTAGCTCTCTAGCATGTAGCAGATTACTCACCAATCAGCAAAAATAAGACACAGAAAAAAACCAGATCAGCCGTAGTAATGATTTTATTTTTGAGCCAAGTGCCAATTAATAAACTGATTAATCACAGAATAGTTTAAAACTTCAGCTGGAGGATACATACTCACTTGGAGGAATAAATGATCTCTAGAATTAGGTAGCTTAATCTCATGTACACTCTAGTCCTGCTCTTCTGGCTATTTGCAAGAAATTTTACAGTGATGAAGGTACTGGGGCAAGCTCAGACTTGTAGAACAATAGGATAACCGTTCTTTCTGTACCTCATGCTGTTGAACATAAACATACAGAGGACAGATGCAGTGTTGCTTCATCAAAAACCAAAATTCTTTACTTCTGATTTAAACAAATCAGCTCTTAAGCAAGGAGGGGAAATTGAAACCATATATTGAGATGAAAGAATCGAACCATGGTATTCCAACTCGGTGATACACAAACAGAAATAATCACATGAATACTTAAAAATTCTTGCTTCAAAATTATCACTAGAAGTCATTATTGTAACAGTTTGAATTACTAGCTATGGATCTATGCCAGCTGAGTTCCACTATCATTTTCAGTAAAACCAGAGTTCTATTGCTAGCCATCCTGTTCCTCTTCCTCATCACGGTGGTTATCCTGCAGCCACTTTGCATCTCGTAACATGTTCAAATGAAACAAGGTTTAGGCGTATCTGTTCCGTGCAGGAAGCTCAGGGAAGTCTTCAGGTAACAGAGCATGGCCGCGGCAGATGGGGCAGGTACTTGAGTGTTGCTTAAGCCATGTTCTAATGCACTGCAAGAACAGGAAGATGTTGAGGGAGCAAAGTCTGGTATAAAGAGTTCAGCTTAAGTGCGTTAATGTTGCTAGTCCAACATCTTCTATGGTACTGAAATTTGCAGTTAGAAACTGTGCAGTTCTGATGCTGTGCTGATCAATTTACATTTGCACCTATTCCATGATAACTCATCAGCAGTAAATAGAGAAGGTAACGGCAAAAAGTCACAGACAGAAATATCAAGTTATTCTAACACAGTCCTGGCTTTGTCCCTACATGAAGTTACACATGCAACTGCTATCAGGTAGCAAATGCGGGCTTTACAGGAGTAGCCCATTCTGGAAGTACACTGCAAACATATTGGTGACTTGACTACCAAATTTATTCTCTGAAGAATAAGTTTAAATTCATTCTGATGAATTACTGTTTTACTTTAAAATCTAAAACTGGAAACTCTCTGACACAGTAAGACCACATCTATAGCAAGTCGTGGCCTACAAAACATTTACAAGAAAACTGCACTTTTCTCTTAAGTGCTGAAGGGTAAGTGGGGAGGGTTGCTTTTAGAGAGCGAACAGAGTTCGTAAATATTTGCATCTAGGTGATAAGAAGAAAAATCCTTACTTCTCTGTGAAAACAGTGCCCGCACTCTAGTTCACATGAGTCTTCACTTAGCTCATCATGGCATATTGCACAAGGATCATCACTGGAGGCCTGTACATCAAACATTAAGTTATTTGAAAGCTGGTAACGATTAAGCAGCAAATTGAAGAAGTTAATGATGTTACTAATTTTAACCAAGTATATTTAAGCTTTTGTACACAAAATAAATAAGTAAATTATTTTTTCCACCAATACTTTGGCTATTCCACGTCTCCTAAGAAGTACATGTCAATCACTGCATATGTGTTGAGATAGCAGAGAACTTACTGCAGAGTCTAGTTTTTTCCATTTAGGTTTAGGTGTTGCTCCGACGTTTCCCCAGGACTGGAGCCGTGGCTGAGATGGATTTTTACTCAGGGTGGTTTTATGTGCAGGTCTTGCCATGTGTAGGCTGGGTACACTTCCTTCTGCAGGTACTTCCCGATTCCGAGTTCCACTCGCTGCTGGTGCAGCCGAGGAAGCTGACTTCACAGGTCTCCCTGCTGACGTCGGTGCCTGGACAGGTATTGGAAAAGGATTTGGAGCAAGTTCATATTTTTTAGCTTGGCAGCAAAGGAAATTCTCTCTTCTTTTCTGGCGCGTGCCGCACCATTTCCTGTGTCAGAGGCGCACAGTAGGAAAGGCAGCAGCTACATGCATCACGGTACCTTAGCTTGCTGGTCCAGAATGAGTTCCATCACTCTGCTTAGAATTTCATTGAAGCTCAAACCTGACAAGGTATTCCCGTTCCTTCTTTGAGCATCTTCTATAAAGCTGGCAATGTCTGAACTGAAGGGATAAAAATAGATGTCATTACTGGTTGGCAGTGCTGTGGCTGTCACCAGCACAGTCATGGTATTGGAGAACACTAAAGCTTCCATGTTTGACAGCAGCAGTGCCTCTACTGGACACCAATTTCTCAAATGAACTGCAGCAAGTACCTGCTTCCAGTACCCCTCAATAACTAGGATATACCTTAATCATTAAAAAATCCAAAACATAAAATAACAATACTCCTATTTGTTAATGGCTCTAATTGTGGAGAAAACAACACAGCACATAAGCCAACACTGTAGGTCTAGTCTCTTGAGGAATATCTCAGCGAAAAGGAGGGGAACTCCTAATACTAGTGTTCTCATGAAATAGAAGCCTTCTACTAAGAAGGCAATTATTTTTGTACTTCATCACTGGATAGTCAGACCTCCTGTTACTCAACATGATGCTCATTAAACCACATACCTGCTATAGTTTGGGAATATAGTCTGTAGACGTGTGATAATATTTTCAAAAACTTTTGAAACCTTTTTGTTGTTTGGAAGTCCAGAAGGCCTCAGCTGCGTAGCTGAGTCACCTTGGTGGTTCTGGTTTGGCCGGACATTCTGAGCATTACTTCCAGGAATCCCTGACGGGCAAGTTGCCGAAACTTTATCAGAATACAATCCTTCCAGAGGTTTGGAGTGTGTTTTCACTGATCCACCACTTGCAGAAGAAGCCTTAGAAGTTGCATGTGCTGGTTTAACTCCAGTGTGGGTATTAAATGAAGGATGTGCCGGACCTTGATCTTTAGAACTTGAAAACGCCGGAAGTAAACTAGGCTGCGTGGATGCTGAGGAATACATGACAACAGCTGGATCACTGATGGGAGGTCTACCCTGTTTTGTCCAGGAAATAAACAGATTTCACAGGAAAAAGAGCAATCAGAATAAATTGAGGAGCACTCTCAAACATTTGCAGCATGAACTACGACACATTTGGTCAAACTAAGGAACTGGAAGGTCACTCAATTTATCTTAACTTGCTTTACCTAGGCAAAAATCTTGCACAAAGGTGCTCTTTAACAGGTGCTACATATAGAGAACCAGTCCAAAAGAGAGTTGAATAGGACAGCACATCTGCAAACTGTTCCTTTAACTTATTCTTGTTTTGCTAAAGGATGCATGGCTAGTGGACAGCTGGACAGCAGTATAGCTTGTAAGTTGGTGGTAGAAGCAGAACTGCTTTAAATGAGTGCCAACAGTTTGAAAGTACAAAATTCAACTGATTTTAATGGACTGTATAATCTGCATATAATCCAGAGACAATTTTTTTTTAAACATAAACACACGTCAGCTGTAGTAGTCATCTTAAAAAACATGGAGCTGACATGATCTGGGAAGACTTTTTTAGCACTAATGACTCTCTTTCATAAATGGAAAAAACTCCTTAAATTACATTTAGTTGTTTGACCCTGTGCCTGCTATTTATTTAAGAACTTGACTACTCTGGGAAGGTGGCTTGCTAACACACGGAACTAAAATTCAACATTTCTTCATAGTCCAACCTGCTGTTTCTTGTTTTGTGTTCTTTATTTTACTACCTTTCTGAAGCAGTATTTTACCTTCTCTGTGAAGGTAAAATTAATTAACCAATGAATTAATTAACCAATAGAATTAAACAAGGAGAAAAGGGGATTTCATCAAGTTTTTCATCTGGACTCGGTATTAGCCTATTCAAGTCCTCTCTTCTAAAAGGTTGTTCCTGTATTACTGCAGTAAAAATAGAGACCAAATGCAGAACAAGAGGCTCAAAAGTCACCCTTTCCCAACCAGTCAACCCTGAGGATGGCAACTAAATTATCTACAGATTCTTAAGAGCTCTGTGCCAATAACTGGAATGGAGACACCTAAAAAAAAGTGAGGAAGAAAAGTCATGCAGGAGAGCGTAGGTGTAACTACTACTTGTGCAAGTTGTGTGGCATCTTCAATGAGTTCAGGGATTTCCTCTGTGCGTGCAACTATGCATTTTGCTTACTGAGTCACTTATCTCCTCTGTTTTGAGAGATGACTGAACCCTTTCTTCCTTATTCCAAACCGTTGCAAGTCCAGTGGTTTCTGAATGCAATTTGTCTTTCAGGACCAAGCAGCAGCTCTGTGGCCTGGTTTCAGTTTTCCCACCAGCGCGGGGCAGTGCACAGGCAGTTTGCAGCGCTGGCACTGCAAGCATTTGGTCACTGCCGTGCCTCTCCCCAGCAGAGCCCTGATCAACAGCTGATGGAGCTCTGACATCCTTGTACCCGGCACAACCACAGCATTCAGAACTAACTGGTATGATCTGAGGAAAGCATTTGTGGAACTGCTGGCCCATGAGAAAATGTTCTTACAGACTGTTTATCTGGAGTGTAGTAGAGATGCATTTCTAGAAATGGCTATGCTCCATCTAGTTCATATCACAGACGACTGAAAGTTGATTTTGGTATTTGTCATCGGTTACACACGTTGGCATAATGGGCCCTTGTCCCTATGGATTTTGGTGCTGCAGGAAAGTCACAACATTCAAAAACACTAGTCCCCAATTTAGACAGAACATGAAGCATTTTAAAGTTAACTTCAATCAGCTTAAGCTTCTCAAAGGACTTGCGAATGTGATTCTCACTGGACTTCACCATGCTCACCTGCAGCCACCTTTTCCTTTTGAACATTACCTGGACATCTGGAGAGCCAGATGACTTTGTGTTCAAGCCTACAGATTCAAGTTCTTATGGACACATTCTGTAACAGGTAGCTGTGCCGATGCAAACTTAAAGAACTTCTTGACAAGCTGCTATCAAATGTATGATACATACTAAGATGCTGGGAGGAGAAGGAAGATCCACAGTTTCCATTTTAACAAGGCAGTTCCGTACACCATTTTTCACCATCTGAATTTTTTCTTCATACTCAGCCTGCAGAAGGAAAACAAATTACTCTCCACATCAGACTGACTAAAAGCTCGCTCTTTATTTAAGATGGTATTAACGCAACTACTTGTTCGCAAAAACACCAAATGTACCAGGCCGGTCAAAAGGAGATGCAAGGCCACCATTTGCTACAGTAATATTTCAATGTTTGCAATGATGCTTGAAAGGGATTGGGAAACCCTTCCTAGTTCTCAAAACTCAGCCTAGGTATTTTACATCTTAACTTTCTAAAGAGTTTTCTGTTTCTAAAGAACTTGCACGGACTTCTAAGGTTCAAAAAATATAAAGAAAACAAGAGACTACACTTGTTAATGTGGAATTTGAAGCAGGTGTATAAAGGACAAATGTTTGCCTTTATAAAATTGAAGATATTCGTTAAGATATTTATTATAACTATACTTAATCTAGACTTAAAACTATCCTTCTCTTGCAATTAAATGCAGTTCAGTATTTGGAGGACAAGCTACTGATGTTTTAATAAAAGGGATGCAAAATTATTTAAGGTATTTATTCTGGCTTAATTTGTGAAGTTCAGCTTAAAGCTTGCTAAGAGAAATTATGGCTTACCTCTACTTTTTCCAGTTGTTTCTTTACATCGGAAATAAACATTTCCCAGGAATCAATCTCTGGCTTCAACTTAGGTGCTGCTGAAACTGAGCTGCTGAAGTATTCAAGATTTTCAGTTAAAGTCCAACATTCCCATTACTTTTGTTTAAAACCTGTCGTTTTTGTACAACAGTTCCCTCCCCTACCAACTAATCACAGTTAAAAGAGATTTCAAGCAATATTAGTTTAAAATTAGTTAAATTACCGGTACTTAGATCCTACCTGATCTTAGAAGAGGACTACTCAAATTAGGTTTTTGCAGCAACGTAGGAACAGGGAATGGGAATGCGCCCTAGGTTTTTAAAAAGGTAACACCAAGGCTAAATTTGTTCCTTGTAAGGAAGAAAACAATGTAGCTGCAGGGCCAGCAGTTTTGTTTGCACTCTTTTCTATTCACATGGCAGCCTCTTCCCAGTGATACTCTGCAGGAGTAACTGGGATGCTCCCAGTAGCCCGATCTTTCCTGGCTAAGAAAGAATAAGGTAAGAAACTTGCTCCTGCGTAAGTATCACACATCTTGGTAGTTTAATAAGAAATTCAGCTTCAGGGAAGCTGCGTTTGACTATTTCCTTCTATGCACCTTTCAGGCTCTCATCCCTTTGTGAGCAAAACTGACTTGTCTAGTTAAATAATCCTGATTAAACATTCAGGAGTTACTTGTATTTAGCAACTGGTAATACTGAAATTTCTGGTGTAAACTCTCCATACCTGCTCAGCAACTTCAGCATCTTGAGATTTGCTTCTGCATTGGCAACTGCACCATTTAGCCTGCAGACTTCTGTTTCCTTCCAGTTTTTGAGTGCCGATATCTGTAACAAAACAGAACTGTTAAAAAAAATAAAATAAAAAAGTAAAGGCACTGCTGTACCACAAGGAATAAAAACCTCAGAACAGATTTTAATAAGCATCTGAAACAACAGTTTGGTGACACAGGGTACAACACACGTGCAGTTCCTATGGAGAGGAATTCCAAGTGGAATTAAGAGCCCTAGCATGCCTTTGGGAGAATAAAAATACCTACATTCACTTCCACTGATAGTAGAAAGTTTCCATAAATGTTCCATATTGAACTTATCCCATAGACAGATGAAAATTATTAATATATGCACATACACTTACTTCAAGTGATTAAGGCAGCCTTTTAAATGCTGTTGCACAGCATTTAAAGAACTCACGTGGCCCAACAAAAAGCCCACAGCAGATAAAAGAGCCTTCCTTCAAACCCTTCTTAAGAAGGGAGAATTGTTCATAATATTCAAAGCATTTCCAGTAGAAAACACACTATTTAAAAAAAAATCCTGATCTGTATCAGACCTCCGTGCAGAAAAATACGCGAATTGGTTGTTGCATTCTCATTCTACCTAATAAAGACCTATATGTTCATTTATATTCATGATAAAGGTAAGTATGAAACTCAGTTACCAGTTTAATTTTGTTTGGGGCAATACAATATTGCCCCATCATGAGCAGCACTCATCAATGTTTGATACAGCATTTTTGATACATGGTTATGAAAAGTTTAGATGCGATTTAAAAAGTTCATTGTTAGACAAGGCTTCACTAGTCATCTTCCCCAACTACAGTCAGCACAAATGACCCAAGCTCTAGCAAAAGTGTTGTAAATTTTTGTTTTGTTTCTACCTCTGCTTTAATAGCTCTTTTCACACACTCTTGGTAATTATCTTGACTCTTCTTTATACGCTCTTCCAATTTTCCTTTCTCATTAGCAAGTTTATTACTGTGAAATAAAAAGAGGTTAAATATTTGAGTAACATTTACAATGGAGTAGTATTTACAGCATTTTAGGTTTTCTACAGCTGTTCTCCCTTCTTCAGAACCACACATCTCCCTTCATATTGCACAGCTCATGCACTGGTGCAGCTGTGCTGCTGCCCCCACAGGCAGGACCTTGGGATTTCCCCCTCTACTCCACCCTGGTGAGACCTCACCTGGAGCACTGCCTCCAATTCTGGAGCCCCTACTACAAGAAGGACATGGACGTGCTGGAGCGTGTCCAGAGAAGGGCCACGAGGATGATCAGAGGGCTGGAGCACCTCTCCTGTGAAGGCAGACTGAGAGAGTTGGGGCTGTTCAGTCTGGAGAAAAGAAGGCTCCGAGGAGACCTTATTGTGGCCTTCCAGTATTTCAAAGGGGCCTACAAGAAAGCTGGTGAGGGGCTTTTAGGATGTCGGGTAGTGACAGGACTAGAGGGAATGGATTGAAGCTAGAGATGGATCGGCTCAGATTGGACGTTGGGAAGAAGTTCTTCCCCATGAGGGTGGTGAGACACTGGCACAAGTTGCCCAGAGAGGGGGTGGAAGCCCCATCCCTGGAAGTTTTTAAGGCCAGGCTGGATGGGGCTCTGGGCAGCCTGACCTAGTGGGGGATGTCCCTGCCCACGGCAGGGGGGGTGGGACTAGATAATCTTCAAGTTCCCTTCCAACCTTGACAATTCTATGATTCTATGATTTCACTCTGCAACCTGAAAAGCTTTCAGAAGTTTGACTACCGCAGTCATGCAAGCGTTACCGTCCTGGGCCTGATCACATGTAGAAAGAAGGTATCCATAAATGACTTTACACTATGTGCAAATAAGAAATTTGCAGAAAATGTTTAGGTAATCTCATGTACATTTAGGACTGTAAGTTGCAGAGATCCAGAGCTCCATGCAGCAGTCCAGTATGTCCATACCACACCCGATTTCTCACTTGTGTTCTAAAGCACAGTGTCATGTAAATCAGGAAAAATGCATGACAGTATGTTGGAAAGTCAGATTTTTATTATTCTAAACATCTACGAGGAAACAGTATTTACTTATGGTAAGTAAAATTAACTAAGAGAATAAGAGATACAGGTTAACATGCTTATTTTTAGTAAGCCTTCACCCACAGTGAAGCAGACAACTCCAATTATGACAAATCAGAATAAAAATGTAAATAGTGCTGAAAGGTACAAGAGTTTTACCTTGTCTCGAGATACGTATTTAAACAGACATTATACTGCTTTTCCTTCTCATCGATGGTCTTCAAATACCTAGAGTAATTGAACATTTATTAAGCTTGTTCTGAAAAATGTTCATTAGCAAACACACAACACGTTCCTCTATAACCATAGTGACGACTATGCAGCAGTGACACTCTGTATCTTTTATACACTGTTTGATACTGTAAGTTCATTTAAATGTATTCCTAATTAAGCAGCAAACTAATATATAAGCAAGCTCATGATTTTTCAGGAGAGATTTGGCCCAGACTACTTAGACTGAAGATAATACAGCAGCATTCAGGGACAGAAGTCTTCTCAGGTCTGTAAACTGAGAGAGAATACTAAAACTATAGTGTAAACTGTCAAATCTGATTAGAAAAATTATTGCTAAGCCAGTCAGTTTCATTGGTAATCTAGAAGCTACTTTACATGTTTACCTGTAACTTGCAAATGAATCAAAATATACGTATTTTAGCCTGTTACTTTGATAAAATATCTAGCTGGTTACACAGTCAAGGATGAGGTTACTTAAAGCCTTCTAAAGTTCTGAGAATGTTTAGGGAAAAGCTACTGAGAATGCTTCATCAAAATCACAGGTGGTTTATTTTCCAGCGTGTCAGTGACCTGATCCCATGCTGGCTACGGCAGAAGTTGACCGAAGTTGCTCCTTGCTCGTCCTTTGCCAGGAGAGCTGGGTTTGCTGCACACGGGATCATGATGGGATTTATACATTTGTACTGGGTTAGCCCGGCCAGATTTCGGTCGTGGGGGTGGCTTCTGCAAGAAGCTGTTAGAAGCTTCCCCTAGGTTTGATAGAGCCAATGCCAGCCAGCTCCAAAGACAGACCCACCGCTAGACGACCTTTAAAGGTCTCTTCCAGCCCAACACAATCTATGATTCTACGAAGGATGAATGTGAAAAAGCAGCACAGGTGTCAAGAATTTTGGAAAACCTGGGAAGGTCTCAAACAGGAAGGAACAATATTTGTTAATTTAGTTAAATAACAGTGTATGTAGATCCTATTAACAGCAGCTCTAATCCATGAATTGCATTTAACTCACTTTAGAGTGACACAGTTTGAGTTTTCACTCTGCAAGCATCGTGGAATCAGCAGATACTGAAACTTATCCTAGTCTATCAGAAATAACTGTACTTAACTGCTGCTTTAAAAAAAAAAAATCAAGCAAAGGGAAAGTAATAGTCTATATTTAAAAATCTTACCTATCATTGGCATCTGTATGCTTTTTAGCTGTGTTCCTTAGTGCTTTTAAGTTCTCTTTATTTTCTTTCTTCTCCTGTTGCCATTTTTTCACTTGCATTTCTAAGTCTTGATGAAACCATTCCAGTTCATTTTTTGATACCTAAAAGGCAAAAATAAGAAACACTTTATTTCTGAAAATACTATTTTATCCAAATGCAAGTTAGAGCAGATTGCTGACACTTACGATCAAAAGCTAAGCCAGTGAAAATTACAGTAACAAGAGTTTTACTAGATAAAAGAAACCCACTTCCACAGTGTCAGGTGCAAATACATACTGAAATCTAACTTCAAATCCAGCTCAAAATCGGTACTGATGGTGCTGCACCAGTACAAAAAACTGGGAAGTAACAATTCAGAACAGAGCAAGCCAGCAGCAAATGTCATAGCTGCCGTAAACACTTTAAAAATCTCCGAGGTAGCATCATGGCATCACTGAGAAATATAAGAAAAAATATTTTTTAAGAAGTACGTACCACGGCCAGGGAGAAGTCCATCAACCCTGCACATAGCCAAGCTTTCAGCTCAAAGTTTTTTAAACTCACATTTTAACAAAACATTCATACAGAAAAAACAGATGTGAGATTACATCGCCCCTTACGTGTAAGTTTGCCAGGCTACTCAAGGCCAACGGTAAGGGTAGAACCTGGGAGCTCCTGAGCTGCACTGTACGAGTTTACTCCAATACACCATTGAAAGCAAAAAAAAAAAATCAAAAAACTGAGATGAACTACAGGGCCCCATCTTACTAAAGATTAAATAGAGGGTGTGCAGAGAGATAGGTTTGGTTTCACCTGAATTATTTTTCTGAAATGGAAAAATTCCTTTTCATGTAGACAAATGGGTAACCTGTAGCATCTACAGCTTTACAATTAATCCAGTCAGAGTGATAATAGGCTGATAGTGCTGTTTAGGGAGTACTCCTCTTCCTCCTACACGTTCTCAGGGCCATAAACCCTGTTAGCAAACCCACCAGATCAGTCAGCACAGTCGGGTGTTTTTGTTCCGCAGCTGAACCAAACCCCAGACCTAGCCACTAGATGGAAGCAACCACTGTCCTATGTGTTTCAGTGGTTCAAAGGAAGAATATCGTGAGGTTGGCCAAGTTAGACTTCACAGCAACAAGGACTGGTGGTCAAGTTTCACAAATACTGTTGATCAGTTACAAGCAATCTTGCGAGCCACCGCTGGCAGTTTGTGCCACTGTTACACGGATAAAACCATTACCTCAGTCTCTTCAACACTTTTCTTTAGGAGCTCTGTTAAAGCACCGACTTCCTCAGAGCTTCGGCTTTGTAACTGCTCGTATTTTTCCTGTGCTTCTGTAAGTTGTTCCTTTAATACCTGATGTTCTTTTTCCATGCGTAGAAGATCTCCCTGAAAACAAATCAGTTATAAAAAACAATCTCATACCTGTTAAACAGGGCATCAAACATTCATGAAGTCTAAAAAGGAACACTGCTGCCAGTTGAGATTCAAGATACTGAGGGTGGTTGGGGTGGTGCTTTTTTTGGTTTGTTGGTTTGGAGCTGGAAAGGGGCAACGTTTAAGAGAAAGTTGTATATCAACAACAGTTTCAGTCCAGCTCAGGAAATAAATATTCATGTTTGCCCACGAATGGAATAGGACTAATTTGAAGGCCCCGTTTTCTAACTTTCATCTCCTGGTATAGACATAAGACTGCCTTCAACACCAGCCTGAGACTTCTGTATGCCCAGATCATAGAATAGAATCACAGAATCATAGAATGGCCTAGGCTGGAAGGGACCTCAGAGATCATTTAATCCAACCTCCCTGTCATGGGCAGGGACACCACCTCTCGACTAGACCAGGCAACACATGGGGACCGAGCGGGAATGGAATATTTAAAAATCAAACTCAACATTTTTGGAAAGGAAATACTGAACATCCCTAAAAAGTACTCCAACATCTGAACAGCTACAAAACAAAGCTCCAAAATGTCGTTGTTGCGAGCCTATGTGAAGTTTCCAAGAACATTACAGAATGCAGGGGGTCAGAAACACCACCCCATCTCTTCCCCCATAAACCACACATGCACCCCACCAAACTAACCAAAATAAAAAAACCCCAAACTTAAAATATGTCATTTCCAGACAACCTTTATCTTTTCACTACTGAATTTTTAGGCATTCCTTTAACCTTCCTCAGAAGAAATATGAACAAATGTGCAGATAACTCACTTGTTGCATTTCAAATGGATGAAAAGGCAAAGTGTTAGTTTCCCTATCAGCTACTTCACGATTTACCTAGAATAGAAAGAATCATGATTAAAAAGCTTTCCAGTTTCAATACGCAACTAATAGATCAGCTCTGTTCTGGAGCTTTTGTACCTAACATGAGACTTTTACAAATCCAACTGCATTATGAAGTAGGTCTATCTACAATGTAAAAAGAAATTATGCAAGAGTTTCTGAAACGGACTTTGATCTGTAATGACAGCACTTGTTTTGTCACGATCCCTCCCAAGTTCAACTGACCATGAAACATTTGTATTTGAGTCTAAAGGCAGCTGCGTTCTACAGGTCTGAAAACTGTACTTGCAAAACCAGCATCTGACAGTCACCGAGCTGTGTTTCCTCCTCAACTCAAGATCTAATACATATGTGCCTTCTACTTAGAAGGGACTGAACTCAAGGACTTTCAGAGTCCTCAAGGACTTACTGAAGGAACTAAATTTTAAAATCTAATCACATGATATATTAAAGATCCAGTTTATGATGTTAGTTCTAATGAGCTAGTAAAAATCACAGCAGATAGTGTGAAATGCCTGCTCTACCACACTTTTGCAAATAGAAGAGTATCTGTGTTTAGTGACCTTTAGATCTCTGCTAATCAGATTTCACTGCACTGAAAACTGTTGCCTCTGCCATTCCCTCTTTGTTTCCTGTGTTCAACAATCAAACAGAAATCCTATTTTAAAAGCCCGGTCAGGCGAGTGACAAAGTTTATCTGCCAAGACTGATGGGCAACTAACTTTCAGTAACTGCTAAGGAAAGATTTAAAGTGAAGAACAGTTTTGTACACAGAACAAGTTTCTGAAAACCACGTTAACATTCTCTAATTCAGAAAGCAATAATAAAAGGACAACTACGCTACAGCTATGACACAGCTATTCCTCCCTTAATGACAAGAAACAAATGAAGATGAGAGACTCCTCCCCAGCATCCCCTCTAGCAATCTCTCATAAATGGATGTGTGAAACTGCCACATCCCTGATTCTGACAATCCACCATTTTAGTCCAAAATGTTTTCTGTGACAAATGTGGATGTGACCATTTTCTCCCGGTTACTTGAACTGTGTTTTCATGAGTGGTGTATGCTAATCTAACTCTAGGGTACCGTTAAAGAGTGAATGCTTCAGCCCATCCCGTGTTCAGCTGCATATCCTGCCCCTTCCCAAGTGTTCAGCATTTCTCTGCCTGCAGGACAAAACTTTCTTTCTTTTTTCTTTCTTTTTTTTTAAACTTTAGAAAGAAAAAAGGAAATGTGAGAGAGTTCACCCCCTAAACTCACCCTGCAGCTGGGCCACTACTGCAAGACCACAAGGGAAGCATCAGCCAGCAACTGGTAGAATGTACAAACTATCTAAATCTTCAAATACTTTGAAAATTAAATCACTAAACTGACTACAAGAAAAAAAACGGTGACACAGAAGGACTTTCCTTAACCTCTACAGCAAAGTTGAAACTGATGTCACCAGTTCCCTCCTTTGATTCTGGGTCAAAACATCTGCAAAAAATTCAGGTAGAACAAAATTCAGTGATCATCTCTTTAAATAATTACAAATGAAACCCAAGAGCAGCTGTAGAGAGTGCCAGCAACTTAAACTGGAAGTTCTAAGGAAGTTCCCAGTCTGGTAAACACCTCAGTGTCTTCCAAGTTGTGGCCTGTTTTTGGGAGATAAGTACTAGAGAATGCTAAATATTATTTTTAAGATCCCGTACATTTGGGTGGCTGGAAATATACCTTGAATATTTGCTCTTGAAACTCTATTCGACATTTGACCCTTTGGGAAGTCATAAAGAAGTCATTCAAAAATGGAGCTGCACTTTCCAGTGCTCAACACTGACATTTACCTCTCAAAAGGCTCTCAAATAACTGTTTCATTTGGTTTTCTTACCTGAACAGCTACCATCCTTGTATGAGGATTGCTCTTCATTAGAGGTACACCTCTGATTTCCTTTTCAGTCTTAATAACCTGTATACCACTTTCAGCATTATTTTTACTATTTGCAACAGCAAAATTATCTTCATAAGATGTATTATTCAAGTTTTCCAGTTTGTGTTGAGGGTCTTCATCCGTTTGTCTTTCAGTTGGTATCAAACTGCTGAAGGCGTATTTTCTGTCTGAAATTGCTGATTCGTCCTTATCCTGATGAGCTACATAATCAGCACAAATATAATGAGGTTGCTCAGCGACGTTTGACAGGAGATGCAGTTGAGAAGGCACTGGCGATACACTTTCATATTGACAAACCCAGGAAGGCTGAGGCAAAAATAAACCAGGATTTTCAGAATCAAAGGACTTCAGTAAAACACCTGAAAACGACGACTCATTTCCTACGGCATCAATACTCTGACCATGCAAAGAATGCACTGATTTACACGAAGGAGAAAAAGACCAGGGCAAATATTGTGAACCCTCATAATGTGCTACTGTTAAGTCAGGAGATGTCGATATATAGGGTTCCTTAGGATAAGACAGCGGTTTGAATTCCTTAGCAGCTGGATTTAACTGCAGCTTTTTCTGAAAAGAATGTTCTTGCACATCACAGGCTATATAATTTTCTTCTTTATTATATCCAGTTTCATTACTCTTTGTATTTTCTTTAATAATAACTGCGTGCTCTCTTAAACTAATAAGATTATCCACCATACTGAAACGAAGGGACTTCAGAAGAAAGGATTTCAGACCACCTTCGTTTTCTACAATCTGTTGAGCTTCTTCAGGGAAATGTTCATATTCCCCAACTAGTAATTTATTATTAATTTCCATAGGACCGTGTTCTTCTAAGATCTGCGAGAAATATCTTTAAAAAGAAAAAAAAATACTGTCAATATTAATCGAAGTTTTCTCATGTAATTCTAAAAACATATTTCACACATTCTGTTTTCACAATAGCACTTAAAAGCAAAGAACCTCTAAAGAACAATCATTTAGAAGATGATGTTCTAGATAAGCATGAAAGTTTTCTCTAATACTCTTGCTTGTCCACATCTTACTAAAAATATGCAACTATTTCAAAGCATTAGTACATACTGCTGTGTACATCCCTACACATACCAGGCTGCTAGGACTCAAATTCTATATTTAATACAATATGTTATAAAAATCATGAAGTCATATTAAACCCTTTAAACTGCTAAGCACAAAAGAGTAAACGTACTCATATAAGCTTTCACAGGTTTGATCTAGGTTATTATCCAAAAATCTTTGATAACTATTATTATCTGAAATGTCACGGAGAGCTTCAAATTCCTCTAGTTGTCCTCTAAGATATTCTGGGATTACAAATGGTTCATAAGAATTTGTAAAATCTCTGTAGCATAAAAAAAAAGAAGAAAAAATAAATCAATAGTGCATGTGAACAATTCTTATCTCTGAAAATAACTGTATTGAAACATATATTGAAAACAGATATATATATATATTGAAACATATATTGAAAACAGCATTCTGTATGGCAATTACACAGTGCTAAAAATATACCCCAATAACAACCATTTTTTTAACAAGCAGAAGAAGCACTACCCCCAAAAAACACTAAACTTACTAACTGCCCTGCCACTGAGCTAATAGTAACAAGGCCTGGCTCTAGCTAGCAGCTTTCACATCTGCACACCAGAGTAAAAATGGACTCAGAACACAGAAGTTTGACTCCTGATGAACACTCAAACTCTGAACGCTGCGCTACAGCCACCTCAATTCGACATCACAGCCTGCTTGACGCAGCACGGATGGCAAAGTCTCGTTCTGACCAATGGAGCACTTATAAACTGAGCACCTACTTTCTTGCCCCGTTTGCATGAAATACAAAGCAAGTCAGATCTTACCTGGAAGAAACGCTTTTGGCCTAGAAGCTGTAAGAGGGCTGCAGCCTGGCCACCAGTCAGTTACTTTCTGCATCGTTAAGATCTTTAAAATCCCAATACCCCTCCAGCCTGTCCCACAGGCAGAGCAGGAACGGCCCCATAGAAGCTCCCATCAAAACCACTCAGAGTTTAACCCAGACTTGGTGTTTCTAAGACACCGCCTGCTCCAGTACCGCAAAGCACTTCAGAGTTTGGGCAATGAAAGCAAAGATACATGATGGTACTTACAAAGTATCTTCTTCTGTAAATAACTTATCTTCTTCTCGTGGTGCTGTACTAACTCCACTGGATAATACTAAAACGGACTAATTAAAAACAGATTATTGGTTTTCAGTCTCACAGAAGTATACACAAAGAGATTCACTCTAAATCTATGAGCAACTTATTTACACTGAACCTTGATCTGTAACTTTATTATGTTCAGAGGCTCATATTATGAACTGCAACACTTTTAAGTACAACTACCAGTACTAAACCATGGCAAGCAACTTTGTAATTTAAAATCATTAATTTCTTCCTCAGAACATATACTGGATATTCTTCAGAACTTATTTGGGATATTCAGCCCAACCTCCCTCTCTTTTTACCAATTTCGTCAAAATCTAAGATGTGCCTCATCTTGTTTTGGATTAAAAAACAAACAACACTCCAGCTTCACTTAGTTACTGACTTTCTAGAAATCTTTTTCTTCATATTTAGGAGCCTTTAAGATTTAATACTTTTACTACGAGTAAGTCTGAACTATCCCTAGTTCCACATGGTTTTAATATGTAATTGTAAATCTCTGTTATTCTTATGTTCACCATTCCCAATGGTTTAGTTGTTCTCTATTTTTTGTTATCTAATAACTTTAGAAATGCACAAACTTGTTAAATAAATGCATCTAAGTCGGAAAAAGAAAAACTTAGCTGATGAGAATAGGAAAAATGTTGTTTACTCCTGAAATTCTAGTAAAATTTTAAAAAGGTGGATGCATTGAGGAAACAAAGAAGATTGTATCTGAAGCTTTCAAGAACACAAAATCCTAGAAAAGCATGACAAAAGACAGTATTCCTAGCAAAACCTATAAAATACTGAACAATTCATAACATTTTTCTGAGTAATAAATGGAACACTTGTATCTTCAGACACTCATATGCCCATAAAATTTATCTGAAAAGACAGTTAAAGACAATTACAAATGTATTTCAGGAGGTGTATGGACACAGTTTTCTTTCTCAGAACGACCAGCAAATTGTCCTCCAAGTCTGCTATTTATCAGGGCAAAATAAAACACGGAATAAAGTACAAATTCCATAGCACAGTCAGTGCACCGTATTCACATTTTCCGATACAGTAAATTAAGATCAAACCAGTCATTCCCATAAACTAAAGGTATCAGTATCCAGTCAGAGCCAAGTTAATTGTATATAACTTTTTTCCTCAAGCTTAAAAATACCTTTTATACTTAAAAACTCATATTTTAGCAAAACAAAACTGTATCAATTGAGTCTTAACAGCATTATTCTACTTCAGGAGAAACTACTTCAAAGACGAGTCCCCACAAGGTATTTAAGAAAACAGCCTCTGTACATCTGAATGCCAGCAATTCTAGAAAACCTATTTGTAGTAAGCAGCTAAAAAGTTACTGACCTTTGAGTCTTTTGCATTTTTCTTCCTGTTTTTATTTTTAACTTTAATACCATCAGTCTGAAACAAAAAAAAGTCACTGTCTTTTTCATTAGAAGAAAATTAAGATGCATTTCCAAAGCCCGTATATAAATTTTTAAAAGTTTCGTATTAGAATTCTCACTCCATTCTGTTTGTTTTTATCATTAGAGAAGACTGATTTTTAAAAACAGAATAATCTATCATTTTAGTATTTCAGATGCTCACTCGTTACTTACAGCTCAAATTACATGCTTAAAGAGCTGTAACATCCCACACCACACAGTTTCGTGTTCTGGTCACTTCAACTTTCAAAGATACAGAAAGATGAAGGAATTAAAATGCACCTTCACTTTTTAATAGGACTGTGATTCGAGATTAACATTACTACTAACAGTAATATACTAAGTCTATTTTAACATCAAACTGCCGTTATCAAGTGATATGTAAATGCCATTCCCATGCACCTTATCGGCCTTATTTTCCCCTGTCTGAAGGAGGCGATACAGCCCATCACTGTACCCTCACCCACTGTCACTATGACTTCCTAATCTCAAAGGTATCCTGCCGGTTTGTGCTTTAAATTCAAAGAAAACCCAACAAGTATTTTACTGATGGAAGTCTACAGAAAATGGTACATAGTCTTCAAATGCTTTAAATAAAAGGGGCAGAAGGGAGGTAAAACAAATGAGCAAATCTTTAATCAGGTCTGAAGGATGACGATGTAAAATAAACCAAGAGAAGCACATCTCTATTGACATTTACGTATTTTGAAAACACCAAACACATACTTCTTTGTGAGCTTATACCAAATAGACACCAAGTACACTTACCGATATATTTTCATTTCCCTTCTTCTTTAATATAATAGTAGGGTCATCTATTGAAAGGATAACAAAGTCACATTTATAAGCAGAAATAGTAACGTTTCATGTATCTTTTAACTGTGAGCTATGAAATTACAACAATTATTATCGCTTACCAAATACCACCCCAGCATCTCAAAGGCTGCAGGGGCAGGCAGAATCTTTGCCCTTACACAGAAAGATAAATACTTATTTTCATTGGTACAAAGGTAAACTCCCATGCTGGTTGTGGCACATGGAACAAAACGGCACGATGTTACCTAAACAAGGGGTGGCGTGAGGCTGCATTTTGAGGCCATATTTCCCTTTAAGCGCTGAACCCAGAAGAGCCCACACCACGAGGCAGCTGTTTGCTGAGCTTTCAGCCTTTTACAGAGTCCATCGGATGTGGTGTAAAACCAGACAAAACACAAGGCTTGGAAGAATGATGAGCTTTGCATGCTTACCCATTTTATCGAAGAATTCATCTAAAGCTTGATGAAGAAATGGAAAATTTTCTCTGTTGTCTTCTAACAGCCATATAAAACAACGGGTTTTCTCTAGGGGTGGTTTTAAGAAATAATCACGAATTTCTTTGTCTTCAAAACTAGTTGTCACATAATCAAACTTACTACCATACTTCTCATTCCAGAGTGTGGTTAAAATAGAAAGGTCAAGTTCTTTTAAAAATTGTCCATATTGAAGGAGAAAGTTCTTGGTAGCTGTCAGACCTAAAAGAGATGAAAAAACCCAACATTTCATTCGAGCTTCAGAATTCCAGTGCTTACAGTTGTGATATTCCTCCTTCAAGAGTTTGTCCTAGAAACTAAATATACAGCAACTGAAACAGATTATGTAAAACCTTTTGTATCCTGAAAACACAAACAAAAACGATAAATGGATTTTATATAAATTTCAGTCTTAGCTGACACCTAATTATTATTTGTATAATAAATCTACGTAAATTCTATAAAAGACATGGATGTAACAGAACAAATTAAGAACCCAAATCTTGTCCATGGTTTTGGCATCTTATGCAAAACAAACTTCTACCTTCATCCAATTCTAACTTCAGTAGGAAACTACACAGCACAGCCACACTACCAAACGGCACCAAGTTAAATTACTTCCAAGTTACACAGTCAGCTAAACTTTTATGACAAAAACCCCACCGTGATTTACTTTCCAGAAACAAATTATTTATACAATTATTATCATTTAAGCCTATTCTGGAATTTAAAGACAGTAACAAGTAAATTTGTCCAGTTTTCTCTTTCCTACACAGAGAAGGCCTCGCCCACAGTAGAACATCTCCCTTGCAGAGACGCTCACACTTTCACCAAGTCAATAAAAAAGGGGACAACTTCACCATTTAAAGTTAAGAAAGCAAGACTGGAAAATAGGAAGGGTATCTTTTCATCTGCAAACTGAACTACTATGACAGGGTAAGGTTTCGTGCTATTAGGCAAACATATAGCCTACCCAAGTTGTTAAGATGTTTCAGCCACTTGTGTAATTTGGGATCCACTTCCTCCAGCTCACTCAGCACGTGGATAAAACTCCTTGTTTTCACTCTGTTTTTTTCCTGATTTAAGTAACTGATGAGCTGCTCCATCACTTCATGTGATGTGCAGCTAGGCTTGGAATATGACACGTAATCTTCCTCACGGATTACAAACCACGAAAGTAATTCTTTTAATAGTTTGGAAGCATCGTGAACAGCTGTTTTTATTCGCTCAGCGTTTCGACTGATATGCTGCAGGACTCTATCACCAGCGTATAAATCCTGAACATAACCTATAATGGGATTTAAAAAACAAACAAACAACTGAAATAAGATTTCATTAAAATGATTTAAATTAAAACCATCAACCTTAAAGTACAGATAATTTGGATTAAGTGGTGTTTTTAATTATTTGTTTTATCACAACTGAAAAGTACAAAATACATAGCTTTCCATTTAAACGAGCTTTAACATTATTATGAATTTGACACAACTTTAACTTTGGTTTACACAAAGAAACAAACCTTAGCATTTTAACTAGGCTTCAAAAAGTTAGAATTTTTTTACAAAATAATTACCTGCAAACAACAGTAGCTTCCAACAATTGTCTATAGAGCTTTATTTGTGTGGGTTGCATGTCTGCTCTGACGCAGACATAATTCCCCCAAGCAGCAGTTCTCAGCGCAAAGGCACGCTTCCGGATGCCTGAGCACACACCTTGTAGCAAACCTTTGCCCTGACCCTGCCACTGGTTCTTTGTGGAACAAGAGGGAAAAAGACAGCTGGCTCAGGCCAGCCTTCAACTTTCGTTTTTCTTCAAGACCACAGAATTAGAGAACATCACTTTCAGGGCTTAGCTGACCACAGCCATAGTCAAAAGGATGTAGGTCTGAAAAGTACATTTTTAAAATCAAAGCACTACATAGTGCACCTGGAATAATGAAGCCTTGTAACAAACTGTTCCAAGCACACTAACAGATTCACTGAACTCTACAGGCATAAACCATGCCTGATCTTATCCTGCAGGAGCCTGCACTAAAAATCTCTGTATCTTGCAAGTGTGCAAACAAACAAGTGCTTTCCAATTTACAAGCAGACTTGCTAGACAGAGGTAGCTATGGCTGCTAATAAAACAAAACAAAAAACCCTTCTGTGATTTAGTTCTCCTCTGAACTTGGCATCTCAACCTCTCAGACAGCTTGAGAGATGCTCTTTTGAAAGATTTCTTCATGAAATTTCCCCAAGCAAAACCAAGCTGATAGCTAGCTTATATCCAAAGACATGCATGACTTCAAGACTTCAATTTTACTATGGAATTATATCGGGTTACGTTAAAAAGGCTGGTCAACACCAACACAGATTTTTGATGAACTGTGTTCAAGTTGCTTCGTGCTGACATATTCCTGCATCAGTGGTCCCAACTATTTATCAAAGTATCACACAGAATCACAGAATGTCAGGGGTTGGAAGGGACCTCGAAAAGATCATCTAGTCCAACCCCCCTGCCAGAGCAGGATCACCTACAGTAGGTCACACAAAGTACTGTTCTAAAAAAATAAAAGATGAGCACCTCAGAGCATTCTAAAGAGGCCAGGATATGCAACTGAACAGGCAACAGGGTTCTGGAGAACTCTAGTATGCCATGCATGGGATGAAAAAGTACCTGAAAAGTATTTAATAGGAAATTCTGCAAGGAAATTAATGTGAGCACTATTTTAGTTAATATACAAACAAAAACTAAGAAAAAAGGAAAAAAATCACCCATTTTTGTCTGCAATGTAGTTTGCCCTAATACAAAATAAAGTGGAAGTTCACACCTCTGAAATACAGACCACTACACATCAACATAAGGGGAACACAGAAGTTGAAGCATTAACCAGCTGCATGCTTAGAGGCCAAAATACGTTGTTTTTCTGAATCCTCTGAAATATATACTTCAAGTCACAGCAGTTTCTGCCATTAGAACATTGTTTTTCTTCATCTGAGATGCAGCTATTTTTTTTTCTGTAGCAGTGTTGTAACCTGTTGGGTATAAAGCATTTTCTCAAATCTATTTAAAAGGGGTTAACTTGGATTTCAAGCCTTTGCCCTCTCTGGGCAGCTTCTTCATGAACAAATGAAGCAAGAATAAAGGTTTTCTACAAGGAACTCAACCATACACTACCTCTTACAGTTATTTAGAAATTAAAAGCAGAACTGAATTGAAAGTAATCTTAAGTAAAACTGCAAATCTTTAAGGGAGGGTTTATATTCAATATTAGTACTCTGCTATAATTTCACTTAGAACATTTAAAATGCTATTTACCGTACCTCGTGCTAACTTAGGACAATAACCCATACTCCCACATACCACTGTGATCACTGTGCCGAGATGGCTCATTTCCCATCCGGTTTTCTTCTGTTTTCTTTTTAGCACAATTCCGTGCTTCTTCTCGTGCATGCTTCCTTCGTAATTTTTTTTCTTGTTTCATTTTTAACTTCCTAACACTGAAAAAAAGCAATTGAACAGTGAGCCTAACATTAGATAAGCTGTCAAAGGAGTCAGGCACATTTAAGTTATTTTCCATGTCTTACAATACCTATAAGCTCCATTCTAGTATAAAATATTATGCTAGAAAGTAAAAATATAATAAAGCTAGCTTTCATTTAGAAAGTAGGAGACCATAAAATTTCATAAAATTTTCATAAAGCTCAAGCAAGTGTAAGGACATCCTCAAGACACAATTTTTTTCTCCCATTAATGATATCTGCATTAGGATTAACTGAAATACTACTAGGTTTTTTTTCTTCATTTGTAACTCAGTATTTTAAACAATATGTTAGCATTTGCATTTCCTTAACTTTGAAAGATAAATTTTATTCATCCTCTCAGTATGATTCCTCATCCTTAATAACCTTACTTGATCAAAAAGTGTAAATGCAGTTATGTCAAAGATACACGCATCAACGACCAAAATAGCATCATTCTATGTTGGTTTTATTTACGCTTTCTTAACATTCACACAAAGTTGGTTAGGTAGCAAAGTGCTGTGGAACAGTGGTGTTGAATTTATGCCACACAGCAATACCTCTCCCATCCAGCTAAAATTCTTGCTGAGCTTCTTCCCTCTAGCAAGGGGAAGGAATAGAACGATGTTTGCAATCTCAGACTGAAATTAGTGATAGTCTAATCTAGACACACTCGATTTTCACTGCACGTGTAATTCAGACACTCATTCCATTAATAAGAATATCGGACACCCATTCTTTTAGCATTCCAACTATCGAGTATCGGCATAAACAGAAGAGATGTATGGAGAGCAAAAGTAAAGAAACAGTCCTCAAGTTCTACACACAACCTCCAAATCACAGTTTATGAAAACTTATTACTTCCCTGCCCACAGATTTCATGATGAAATTAGGTTTCAAGTATAAAGAATTAACAATGACTGCTGCAATTCATATTCCAAGAACTACTGGTTCAAATTACAGGGAAGTCAATGGTGCAATGGATAAATAATTCCTCACTACAGAGGTGTGGAAAATCAGATTTGCATCGACTCATATACGCTGTATATTCGAAAACCATTTCCTGTGACCATAATGAAAATGCTGTTTTTAAAGAACTGTATGGTCCCTAGAGTTAGCAATACTGTATATTCAACAATATCAGTTAATGCTGTCCTGTGCTCACTTTATAAATCTGCAGCTCTGTATCATGTTTTACAAGTGAATTTACATGCTTTTATAATTGCACTGCAAGTTATTTTACCAGACTTCTTAATGTGTCGGAGGCAAAGGCCATGAATAGCTTCCCACAGTATTTGTGATGTTTTAGCAATTCTTAAAAAGGCATAAATTGATTCAAGTTAGTTTTGAACAGTAGAGAGCTTACCTTGAACTTTTCTGTTTAATAATGGGTCTTGATGGTTCCTTGGGTTTTGTGATTTTTTGTTCAAACTACCAAAATAAGTGACATCATATTAATTAAATTTGGGATAACAGCAACATAACACTGCTGATATTAAAGTCCAGGGACATTTACCGCTCCCCAAAGCATCAAAAGTAATACTACAGCTGAGATAATGCAGCCTACATAAGCCTCGTGAAGGTCTACCTAAAATTATCTTCTACTACTACAATGCGGTATATAGCAACACATCTTTATCTGCAGAAAAGACAGTCAGGAAGAACTGGAGGCTGTTTTGCTTTATCAGTGCGCAAGAAGCAATCTGCATAAATTTTTTTTCTTTATTTTTCCTTCTCACAGACCAATACTGCTCTGGGGCTCTGTAGAGGTTAAGAGCACTCTTTCAGTGTAATTAGGTCATTTAGCAAGAGTAGCTCTGAGTTCAACTAACAGTTCTTTTCACAGCACTCAAGTTGAAGATGAAACGACACTCCAGTTTCCATTCATGAAAATTCTAACCAACAGCACAAGGTAATTCCTGTTCCACTAGAAGAACAGGTAAGAAGGGAATAGGTAAATAATATTCCTAAATAATGCTCCGATTCGGTAGTTAAGGGAGCATATTACTTAAGAGTTTGCAGTTATATAGTCATCTTCACTTTTATTTCCTTCAACAGAGTAAATATTGTAAAGTTTATTTTCATATTTTATATAAATAGTTACTTACTTCACATTTTACCAGACCAGAAGAATTGAAAATAACTATTTTTGAAATAAGGCCTGTACAATCAGGAGTGAAACACAGTTCTTGAAGAAAATCCTGTAAAAGAAAATGATACACAGAACAAAGACATTTAAATTCATACAAAATTTATATTCTTGGACAGATTACAGTTTCTTAATTTGAGATGACCAAAGTAATTAAAGCTAGCACAGTCCTAAGCTCTGATTGGATGAGGAACATAAAAGTGACAGCTAACTTGGCAAGGACTACAAATAAAAAAAAATCCTAGTTCTGTGGCATATTCCTGTTATTCTCAAAGCTATAGCAAAGGCCCTCTTCCTCCAACTTCACGTTCAAGAGTCAACTTTGAGAATATTCGTTTACGGATATCCTCCTGCCGGGAGTTCCCTTTATTTTATACTAGCTGCTGATACTAGATTTTGTAAAATTACTGTAGACATGCTCAACGTCAGACTGTTCCTTCAACAGCAAGACTGTAGAAGGAATAAAACTTCATGTGGAAGGGCATTAAAGATGCAAGATAAATAGGCTCAGTATACTAAGCCTTCTCATAGGCTTTTCTTCTGCAGACACCAGCAAGTTTTACCCACGCTTGCATGTCAGACAACTTAGCAAGAGACTCCTCTTCCCTGTCTCTCCTCTTGCCATTGTCATGTGGGTGGAACATCAGGCTGCAGCACTGCACTTACATAAACCACGGGAATGCTACAAACTTGAGTAAAAGAAAAAGAAGCTCTTACTTTATCATTTTTATCACTGTAGTTTGCTGTTTTCAACTTTTTCCAACAGTTGATATGAAACTCCACTCTACATTGCTGACAGCAAGTAATACGTAGAAAACCCTAATATTAAGAAAAAAGTACAAATTTAATATCTTTACAAAACAAAAAGAAAACAGAAAACCAGGAAATGGTGTACAACTTTGATGTGTTCCAGATAGATCTTTAATATGAGAAAGAGCAGAAAACATATAAACATGGATTTTTATTTCTCAATCACCTTTTAAGCTAAAAATTTACCTTGAAGTCTGGATCCGTAAAATATATTTGGATTTTGGAGTGGCCATGACATTGATGATAGCGACAAATTGCATCTGGTTCTGGAGGGAACTTGCATTCCTCAATACAGTTCTTTAAAATCAACTGAGAAACACAAAATGACGGAAGATAAATTGCACATAAACCAGGAAAAGATTCAGTATTACTTACACCCTTCTGGGAAACTCTGCAGTGAAACACTCATCTCTTTTTGAACAGCAGAGAACTAACACCAAAAGAACAACTCTTTTCTAGTCAAAGCTATGGAAGGTTGTCCTTTTATGGCAAAATATACAAAAGCTCGTTTGAACTGCTATCAGCTAAGTACTCACAGCTTCCCTGCATGCAGGTTTATCTTGGACCAATGTTGACCAATTCCAAATGCATGAGAATACACTTAATTTTCCATTGCCAAAAACATAAGCCAGATTATTCAGATAACAGGATGAAAATGGAGTGTCTGCTCATTTCTGCTATTTCCCAACATTTCAGGAGTGCCTCACCTCAGAGCTGGGTTACAGGTTCAAGTATATTCCCAGGCTCAGACCTGGCCCTGCACTGGAGCCAGTGAGATCTCCCAGGACGGCATCTGCAGTGAAGACACTACAGTGACTTTATATAAACTCAGTTCACGTCCCACAGGGCTGGCACTGAACTCAGATTAAAAAAGCACTGGTGAGCACTTCACAGCCTTTCAGATACTTGCATTATGCTCTCCCAAAGTCCCAGACCACTGACGTATTACTGTGGCCAGACTACTGTAGTGTCAGCTGGGGGTCTATGAGAAATCTTTAGGGCAATTTCTCTTTAGGTAACAGCAGTTATTCAGTGTATGAACTTGGTTGTGCTATACCAACCTGGTTTTTTTTTCCTGCTGCTCTCACCAGAAAAAAAAAGAGGTTGGTATAGCACAACCAAGTTCATACACTGAATAACCTAGCAAGTTCTACTGCGTCAGACTACCTCCATGAAGAGGAGCTCACATGTCTTGCTCCTCATGGCATGGTTTATCCAGGAACCTTCCACAAATAACAGCAGCTCAATTACAGTTTAAAAGAAACAACAACAGTAATAATAATTAAAAAAGCTGTTCAGTCTAAGAAAGAAACATGTCGCATCAGAAACACAAGTTAAGATTTTTCAAGGCAAACAGGGAATTTTACCACACTGCACCAACCACAAACTACATGGCCAAACTCTCCTATTTGGTTTTAAATACAGTACCAAGAGCACCAAGTATAGCGCTGCAATTTTCAACTTTACATTTTTAAATTCAGATTATTAACCAGTTTCTCTAGCATTACAGTTATGTATAGTATTCACATCTACTTAAAATTTGACAACATGAAGCTAGACTAGAACTATATTATTACATAGAAATACCCAGACATAGAGCCTGACACAGAGCCCCTGCCCTTCTGCTGTAAAAAAGATGCTTCTCAAGTTCACATTTCTTGTCACAAGAAAAGTTCTGCTCTAAAAAGACCAGGCCTTGGGGCTGACAATGCTCTAAATATGAGCACTTGCATCGGCTTCCTTTCACCCCCATCTTTCTTCGGCTTTAACAATGGGGAGGCAGGGAGGAAGATGATCACTTTTTTACTTTTACAAAGGCCATTTGACAGAACAGGTTTTTATGACCCTCTCCCCCCCTTTATTTTTTTTTAACATACCTGTAAATTCTCTGTTCGTGTCTCTTCAATGACCTGAGATGTTGTAGGCCAAGTTAACACTCCAGGTACAATCTCACGATTAATCATTGTTTGTGATTTCATGAACTGACTAAGTGCATCTGAAAACCTGAAGTTTTAAAGAGGTACAACATGTTCAGATTATATATGACTTAATTCTACGTGGCCTGTAAAACTTTCATGATTAATTTATGACCCAAGGAAAAATAACGGCAGCTGCAAGAGTATGGGGAATGAAAGAGCACCTGGTCCATTATCTGTTTAAGGACTCCTCAGTATAAAAGACTCACAGTGTGAGCTAGTGTGTTGGACTGAGATAGAACTGACTTCTGCTAAGGGATTTTACTTTCCAGTTAAGTCTCTTTTAAGACATTGTGCTTTCTGAAGTTAACAGCATGTTTTTGCAGACAGTGTCAGCTACTAGAAGTGATAACGTCTGATGTTTATAGTTACTGCCAAGGACTGGTATGCAGAAAGGCTCTTTTTTCTACTTGCTCCCACAGAAACCAAGGTCACTGCTAAGTCTTGTGTCCCATGTTGGGGTGCTATAAAGTAAAAGGGCGATAACCAAAAGGTTGCACGTGCAGGGAGGAGGACACAGCAGAGGTAACTCAAACCTGACCCACAAAAGTATTCTATTCCATATACATCTTATCCAGCATAAACCCAAGGGATCACAACAGTCAAGCCCTCTTCTTCTATGGCTGGAAATCCAGGAGGATTTCATCTGTTTTTCTGCCTTTGATCCCAATCTGTGAGTTTCTGAATCCAGTTCCCACCTGCTGCTGAGTCCACCTTGGCACTTCTCCAGTGCCCGGTGTCTGCCCTGCAGCAGCAGTGGTGATGCATCGGGGGAATTTTGATACTGGTTTCATATGTGTATTTTATTCTTTTCTTATTAGTACTATTGTTTCATTAAAGCTAGTTTAGTCTTCCAATTCTTAAGTCTCTCTCCCTTATTCCCCTTCTCTTTAAAAAAAAGGGCTTAATATAGAGCATCTGTCATTTGTCTAGTGGTCAGCCCAGCCCTAATCCATGACAGTCAGTAATCCAGCCTAAGTAAAGGGCCCAGAGTCCAGACATGGCTACAAGGCAGACAGAGCCTGTGCTGGTAATTCAAAGGACCCATGAATGTGGGTTTGCTTGTCAGTACAAAGAGTGAGGGGCATGTGTATGTTCATGAGTGACGTTCAACCCTGATCAGCCAGGGAGGAGGCAGCACAGGACTCTGCTACCAGTACTTAATGTTTTATATGAGTTGAGGCAGTGCTATGCATGGCAGCTGCTCTGCATGGAGCAGTCTGGATGGCCAACCGCACTGTGGGGCGGGGGGGGAGTGTACAGAGCTCTTTGGGACAGACACACACAGTCTCACCACAGGTCAAAATTGTCAAAGCAAACACAAGTCACATCCATGGGACTGAGATACAAACAATTCTCAGGCCTCAGACTGCACCTGGCTACGGTGTGGCCATGGGAAAAAGAAATGCTCTCTGTGTCCAACACTCTCTTATCACGTGCTTTCAATATTCTAAACAAGGCAGATTTAATGTTTAATATCAAACACTGCATGAGGTTTACATGGCAAGGTTGGGCAGGGAAGTAGGGACCAGTGCTGCAGAGGCAGCCCCTGTGAAGAGAGGCCAGAGCTGCCCCAGTTCCACTTGGCTTCAGTAAACCCAACGAGGGTCACAGTGGAGACCCTCAGGCAAGATGGTAGCACCTCAGGGTAAGAAAGGGAAAAACATACTGCATGGCTGTGAGCAGTAAGGAAAAAAAGATTGAGAGAAAGCCCTTCAATTGCCAAGGTAAGGAGGAGTAGAGAAGTAGGTGTTGCACAGGTGGACATGCCCCAGAAGGAACTGCGGCTTGTGGAGAGGCCCCATGTTGCCACAGGGGAGGAGTGCGTGGAGGAAGGAGCAGCAGAGAGGAGCTGTTACAGACTGATCACAACCCACATTCCCTGTCCCTCTGGGCACCTTGGGAGAGGAGCCGGCAGAGGAGTCAGGAATGAGGGAGTGAAGTCGAGGCTGGGTTAAAGAGGGGTTAGGAAAGGTGGGTTTAGTTTTTTTACTTTGTTTCTCACCATCCAACTCTATTTTAACAGACAATAAATTAAATTATTTTTCCCCAAGTTGAGTCTGACTGTAATTAGCAGGTGATCTCCAGGTTTTTATCTCATCCTCCAGGCTTTGTAATCTTATTTTCTCCCCTCTCTCCTGTTGAGGAGGGGGAGTAGGAGTGCAGATGGATGAGGGTCTGGCAGCCAGTCAAGGTCAACCTGCCACAGGCATTGCAGGGCATCTTGATTAAACAGAGCAATACCCTCACACACTGAAATCCCAACATAAGTATAACAAAGCAATTGCAATGCACACTTGAATCAATACAAAACGTGATTCCCATTACCAGTCTCTATCTGCTTACCATCAGGACACTGGGAAGAAACACTGTCAGGAATATGCAAGTTGAAGCCAGCTCAAGTGCCTTATTCTGAAGTTTATTAGTTGTCCAGTTTCCGCACTTTATGTTCGGCTGAGCCATGCACGTACTCCCCCCTCTCCCGGTGCTGGCTGGCTAGCCCAGGAAGACATTCTTCTCTCTGCCTCAGGCAGCTCAGTGCCTCACTGGTGCAGCTGCCTTATCTAAACCCAAGGTTACCCTCCAGCCTCCCTCGTGTTGAGATAAGTTAAGGTCTCTTTACAATACATTTTTTCCTGAGATCATCATTTTTTTTGCTGTTCTCCTGTGAGCTCTCCCTCAGTGCAGGGGTGTGCTCGTCGGTCATATCCCCGTGCCCTAGAGACCACTCGACTCAGCAGTTTCCACTACAGCCTTAGCAGTAACAAATTCAAATTTGTAATAAATCAGTCTGGTGTATGAATTCAGTGATTAACAAAGAATAATTTAAAAAAAAAAAAATCTATGTAACATTTCTCAAATGAAAGTATTTTTTTGTATCAAATAACGAAGCTTTATATTATACCAACCTGTTTTGTCTGAGGTATACTTTTCCAATTCCATAGTATGCTAAACAACCAAGTCTTTCTTCTGGGTACTCTTCAATTATTTTCCTAAACTCCTTTTCAGCCTTTGTCAATGCCTTCAAAATAAATTTGTAACAAAAATACGTGACAATTGTCCAGAAACTTTTTACTTTTCCCTCTTTTTTTGCTCCAGTAGAGTGGGTCAGTATGCCCTACTCTTTCATCAGTCTTTTGAACAGTAAAATGAATTAAGCAAACTTATGATCACACACAAAGGCTTCCCTTTTATAAAAAGAAGAAACTTATTCTGTAAATATGGGCTCTCTGTGAAATAATAAAATTAAATTACTGAGCTCGCAGAGCTACAAACACCCCAATGATTTCAAATTAACTGTAAGACACTGAATACTTTCAAACTGCAGGGAAAAAAAACCACAAAGAAACCTAAAAAAAAAACCCCTAAACAACCCACACTCCTGTTTCAGTGTTTTACAGTGTGAAAAGCATTCTCCTTCTCTTGTTTTAGAAATAAAATATTTGAGCTAGAAAAACCAGCACATAAGCACATTACAACAAAGTAGACAACAAATAATTGTCCGTACTTCATATTAATACTTAAGAATCTGATTTGAAAGCTTAAAAAGAAATTTTATTTGGTAGCTTAATTTGGCCAAAAAACATTAAAGATCTAGTCCTGTATATTATACTGTACAATTCTAAAACGTGACAAATCTTTCCTTCCAAAAATGGATGGCCAACCACCTGAACTAGAATTTTGAATAAAAGCAATATAGCAGCCCGATGTCATACCTCAGGTAGTCCTATTCCAAGGAGAGCAGTGGCATGTCCGTAGATGATTACAACATAATTAATACGAAAATTCGGTTGCTGCAAAAAGAGTCAAATTATAGTAGCAGCATGTACAAAAATACTTTGTAACATTACTGTCTACTGTGAAGATCTTCACTACAAAAGAGCTATGAAACTTTTTCTATCCTTGTTATCACAGCTTCTACCCAGATTTATGTTAGAATTAGCATAAATAAGGAGGTTAACTGCACCTTTACTGTTAATCATTTGGCATTCCTATATATTTCCAAGCAATACATCCTGGAACACCTGCTTTTAGAAATGCTGTAACTACAGAGCTTACTATGTTGACTCAGCAAGTTGGCCAACAACACTGAGCTGTGTGGTGCGGCTGACAAGCATGAGGGAAGGGATGCCATCCAGAGAGACCTGCACAGGCTTGACAAGTAGCCCTGTGCAAACCTTTTGAAGTTCAACCAGGCCTAGTGCAAGGTCCTGCACACGGGTCGGGGCAATCCCAAGCACCAATACAGGCTTGGGGATGAGTAGATGGATTGAGAGCAGCCCTGCAGAGAAGGACTTGCGGGTGTTGGTGGATGAAAAATTGAGCATGAGCCCACAACGTGTGCTCACCGACCAAAAGGTCAAATCGCATCCTGGGCTGCATCAAGAAGTGTGGCGAGCAGGTCAAGGGACGTGATTCTGCCCCTCTACTCCGCTCTTGTGAGACATCACCTGCAGTACTCCATCCCGCTCTGGAGTCTCCAAGACAAGAAAGAGATGGAACTGTTGGAGCAGGTCCAGAGGAGGACCTGGAGCACCTCCCTTACAAGGACAGGCTGAAAGAGTTGGGGCTGTTCAGCCTGGAGGAGTGAAGGCTCCAGGGAGACCTTACAGTGGCCTTCCAGTACCTGAAGGGGAACTATAGGAAAGGAGGGACTCTTTATCAGGGATTGTAGTGATAGGACAACGCGTAGTGGTTTCAAACCAAAAGAGGGTAGATTCAGATTTTTTTACTGTAAGGCTGATGAGACACTGGAACAGGTTGCCCAGAGAAGCTGTGGATGGCCCCTCCCCGGCAGTGTCCAAGGCCAGGCTGGATGGGGCTTTGAGCAACCTGGGCTGGTGGGAGGTGTCCCTGCCCATGGCAGGGGGGTGGAACTGGATGATCTTTAAGGTCCCTTACAACCCAAATCATGCTGTCATTCTATGACTTCATGCAGTGCAATGTATCTCTGCTATTTTCACGGTCAGATTTTTTTCTTTTTTTAATTAAAAAAACCCCCTATTTCTCAATCTTTTTCTTCCCTATAAACTAGGTCACAACTCCAGACAGATTGGTGCATTCCTTGCTTGGACAGAGTTCTTGTTGGCACTGTAACAGCCCTTACTAAAATGGGAGCTTGAAACACAGCAACACATGTACACACAGTCACACAAAGCTTAATACTAAAGTACAATAATTTAAAGAAATCTAGGATGTCCAATGGACCAGTGGCTGATTGGCTAGATATACATACTCAACATTTCACAGTATTCGCCATCAAAGAGTTATCTGACCTGAAGAATATAAAGTCTTTTTACCCTAAATCATTATGAATAAAGGTTAAGTGAAAACAGACAGTAGTTTCTTATAAAATGTTTGATATGAATATATTATATTATCCTCTAAAGAACAATATTTTGGTAAATATTTTTAAGATTACGTCTAGAAATGCACGTGTACGCTAAATATTACAAAAACACATCCTATGCTACTATTGCTTTTTTCTAATTCTGTTTTTCACTTGTAAGCTCCTTGTCATACTTCTCAGTGATTGGCATTGTACTTAACATCATAGGCACCAATTCAATAATAATGACTATTTTGGCAGAAGAAACACAATATTGAAAGCTTAAATTTTGATTACTCTAACGAACTACATTATTCTTCTCAGTTTACCTTTAATTCTGAATGATTTAGAATGCTCAACAATTGTGAAAAGGCTTGTTCAGCACTTTTACACCGCTGGTCCATTAAGGCTGTATAACCAAAACGAACAAGGGACGACTCTTCTGATAGCATGGTTAAATCCACCTAAAATATTTTGGAAAAGAGTAAGTCTGAAAGAAAACAGTTGGTTTGTTTTTTTTAAGCAAGCAATCTATTTGCTAAAATACCTATCCAACAGTCAGCTGTTAAAATTCTGTACTTCCAGTTTTACCACAATTTCACTTTTAAAGCAGCAAATTAGGTACATTTTTATAGAACTGTTTAAAATTCAACTTCTAAAAACATGATTTTCATGCACCTACTGCTGCTAATCTCTTAAAAATCTGGGTTTTGTTCTAAGTTTAGATCCTTTTCTCCCCAGAAAGTTTCAAGTTTAGTTCAAGCATCATTTTATTCCTTCTTACATACAAAAAAACCCAAACCAAAACAACCAAGACTTATGTTTTTCCTCACTTGTACACTCCATTCTGGCTATAAACATTTTTAAAATTTTTAATTATTTCCTTCTGCCTACACTTTTTCTCCATCTAAGTTCATATCTAATGGAAAAAGTTTTCAGAATACAGTGTGTTCTTAGCCTTTCACTACAGATACTTCCTGAAATCTGTGGGAATTTCCATCTGTCTTGGGTTACAATATGTAACCAA